AAACAAAGGAAAGGTGACTGAAGGAAGGGGAGGAGAGAAGGGAGGAGACGGGAGAGGAGAGGAAAGGTGAATGAAGGAAGGGGAGGGGAGGGGAGATGAAAGGAAAGGAAAAGAAAAGAAAGGTGAATAAAGGAAGGAGAGAAGAGAGAGGAAAGGGGAGAGAAGGGAGGGGAGGAAAGATGAAGGAAAGGAAAAGAAAGGTAAATGAAGGTAGGGGAGAAGAGGAGAGAGGGGATGGGAGGGGAGGACAGGGGAGAGGAGAGGAAAGGTGAAGGAGAGGAGAGGAGGAAGGAGGGAAAGGAGAGGAGAGGAGAGGAGAGAGAAGGGATGGGAGGGGAGGAGAGGAGAGGAGAGGAGAGGAAAGGAAAGGAAAAAGGAAAGGAAAGGAAAGGAAAAAAAGATTTCTGCCTCAACTAGTTGAAGATAAGTTTTAAACTGGTAATGACCCAGTAACTGACATTTTTAACTCAGAAGTGAAATCTTGTTAAAGGAATCTTTGAGGAAAGCTTGTTTTCGATGCTAGTGAGCTTGCAGGCATCAAAAACAGCTGGACTACGAATCCTCAGCATACAGACCAGAAGTAAGCTGAGATTTCCTCCAGGTACCGTCTAGTATTTTCAGTGCAGTAGAATAAAAGTAAATAACGTGACACCCTCAACGTTTTACTTTTGCAGACTTAGTGTATACCAGCCACTTCTATGCCAACAGACCTATCTAATCTGCAAACCCCAGAGTCAGGCGGCTTCATTTTGTTCTGTCTCAAGCACAAAAGCTAGAAGAGGTGTCCAACAGTTGGATGGAGTCTTTCCTTTGATTAACAATAGTTGGATGGAGTCTTTCCTTTGATTAAAGCCATTAATTTGGCCCTGTCAGCTCCCTCCGTTTTTTCAGCCATTCCTTCCATTGGAGGAATTAGTGTCCTCTTTCCACTTTTGCCACAGAGAGCATTCTCGCCGCTGTCAACATATATCACAAAGTTCCAGGTTTTTATTATACTTGCTTATTTTTCAAATTTCACCTTAATGGCCTTGCAGGTCAGGAGCAGAATTAGAGATTTCAGTAATGTAGGTTCCTCCTTCGAATATTTGAAAGCCACGATTCTGTGTTTCTCACCCTGGGGATAGCCAGCTCTATTATATGTCCCCGTAGCTGCCTATGATTGTGAAAACTGGACCTTAAAAAAGGCAAGACAGGAAGAAAGTGGACTTGTTTGAGCCGTGGTGTTGGAGAAGGTTCCTGCGTATTCCTTGGGCAGCAAAGAGGGCCAGCAAGCAAGTTCTGGAGCTCATAACACCAGACGTGTCACTGGAAAACAAAATCACGAAACTGTGTCTCAAAACTTGCCACGTTGTGTGCAGGGGAATTCACTGAAGAAGGGAATTATGTTGGGAAGATTAGTGGTAAAAGGAAACGAGGCCATCAAAGAACATGGTGGCTGGGTACAATCAAACACCCATAATAACAGAGTTGGGTGGGATCTTGAAGATCTTCTAGTCCAACCCGTTTAGGCAGGAAGCCCTCTACCATTTCAGACAAATAGTTGTCCAGTCTGTTCTTAAAAACAACTTCTGGAGGCATGCTGTTCCACTGTCAGAAAATTTCTTCTTAGTTCTAGATTGCTTCTCTCCTTGGTTAGAATAGAACTGGAAGGGATCTTGGAGGTCTTCTAGCCCAGCCCCCTGCTCAAGCAGGAGAACCTATACCATTTCAGACAAGTGACTGTCTAGTCTTAAAAACCTTGAGTGATGAAGCACCCACAACTTCTGAAGGCAACTTCCGTTCCACTGGTTAATTGTTCTCACTGTTCCTCCTTGGTTCCAGGTTGCTTCTCTCCTTGATTAGTTTCCGTCCGTTGCTTCTTGTCCTGCCTTCAGGCGCTTTGGAGAATAGCTTGACTCCCTCTTCTTAGTGGCAGCCCCTTTGATACTGGAAGACTGCTATCATGTCGCCCCTGGTCCTTCTCTTCATTAAACTAGACATATCCAATTCCAGCAACCTTTCCTTATATGTTTTAGCCTCCAGTCCCCTGATCCTCTTTGTTGCTCTTCTCTGCACTCTTTCTAGAGTCTCAACATCTTTTTTACATCGTGGTGACTAAAACTGGATGCAATAATTCAAGTGTGGTCTTACCAAGGCCTTGTAAAGTGGTATTAACACTTCATGGGATCTTGATTCTATCCCACACCAGTCAGGGCATAGAAATACTCAAAAGAAGTAGCGCAAAGAATCGCCAAGAGTTGGACACAACTGAATGGATAACATCACCATCATCATCGCCATCATTCCCCTCTCGGGCCTCAGAAGGCAATCCTTGCCATTTCCTCAAATTTTTAACATCGGTCACAGGACAAGGATCCCCATGACATTAACGTAATAACTCAAGGCTAGGAAATCACAACTGGGTGTCACTTGGACACTTTCATTTTTCTGCCTACACTTGAGCTCTTCATGCTGGGCCTTAGAAAGCCCTGCTACATTTTTTGTATCCAGCTGCCAGCTTCTAATTAAAGATGTGAGCATAGCCCACAGCTCCGTCAAAGCTGCTCCTGTCTTTATATTTTATCTGTTTTCTCCCCCACCCCCTTGCTCGTTAATTTTCCACTGAAATGTGTGATGGCTGCACTTCCTGCACACATTTAGCGATGCTTCACAGCCTCGGAACCTAATTGCTGTCATTAGAAAAGCTTTCCACAATGCAACCTAGTTTGGTCCCCACAATTTCCTTTTGGTTTCGGGCTGCTAGTTAAACCCTGGGATGCCCTTTCCTTTCCTTGGCACATTCTTGTTTCTCAAAACTTCTTGGGTGTCCAATCATAATTAAACCATTTGGTGCATTATAAGCAAGGGGGGGCTTCTCCCATCTGCAAGAAGAGAGGCTTAAGTAAGCTCCCCCCTCCAGCAAATATCTGTCAAGCTATGAAACCTTGTGTGTTTAGGACCACTGTAGTGCTTCTAGTTTGTCTACAGTACAGGGGAGGGAGAAAAGGAGAGAGTTTTGGATCCACAGGTGTTCCTTATCAACGTGCGATCCGAAGCCGTTGAAAAGTTGTTTTGGCGAACTGAAGTTTCTGATAACGTAACAATTACTGGAAGACATCTTGGACAATGTGACCTGAACTGTCGGAGAGTGGAGGGAAAGTTTCACTCTTTTAATTACCTTCTTCCTGCCATATTCTCAGAGCTAGTTTCCTTTCTATCTTACCGGTTTCCTAATGCCTAATAAAGTTTACGTTAGAGAACACAACGCCTCTGGTGTTTTGCTTCGTTGGGCTTCTCAGCCGGAACTTGACAATATCTCTGTTTGAGTCTCCTTGGCATTCATGCTTGGAAACTCCGTTCCATTCAGATGCCCTTCTCTGTAGAGTCTTCATGGTACAACCGTTGTCTTTATCATTGTTGCTGGCCATGACATGCATTCCTTCTGCTGAGGCGCCATGTTGTCAATTTGCCCATCATGTGGGATTCTTTTTGTTTTGGGTTGATGGAACTTTTGCTTTGTCCTCTCCTTCCCTGTTGCTGTCTGTACGATCATATCCAATCTTCATATTTTCATATTTTCATGCAGGCATCGGACTCCAATGGCACCAGACTTTAGGATTCTCCACCAAAGATCAAAAAACGCTTCTGAAGAACAATTACAGTCAAGCAGTCCTGCTTGATTTGTAGCTTCTCAACAGTAGCACACAGGATTGGATTTTAAAAAAGGTAGACCATAAAGACAACCGAGTCATCTTGCATCAAACTTATCCATTTGTAATAAATAGAAAAAGAATCCAGCCCAAATATAGAATAGAATAGCAGAGTTGGAAGGGACCTTGGAGGTCTTCTAGTCCAACCTACTGCTCAGGCAGGAAACTCTATAACATTTCAGACAAATGGTTCTCCACTCTCTTCTTAAAAACTTCCAGTGTTGGAGCATTCACAACATCTGGAGGCAGGTTGTTCCACTGGTTAATTGTCAGGAAATTTCTCCTTAGTTCCAGGTTGCTTCTCTCTTTGATTAGTTTCCATCAGTTGCTTCTGGTCCTGCCTTTTGGTGCTTTGGAGAATAGCTTGCCCCCCTCTTCTTTGGTGCAGCCCCTGAGATACTGGAAGACTGCTATCATGTCACCTCTTGTCCTTCTCATCATTAAACTAGACATACCCAATTCCTGCAACTATTCTTCGTATGTTTTAGCCTCCAGTCCCTTGATCATCTTTGTTGCTCTTCTCTGCACTCTTTCTAGAGTCTCAACTTCTTTTTTACATTGTAGTGACCAAAACTGGATGCAGCATTCCAAGTGAGGCCTTACCAAGTCCTTGTAAAGTGGTGTTAACACTTCACGTGATCTTGATTCCATCCCTCTGTTAATGCAGCCTAGAACTAAGTTGGCTTTTTATTTTTAAAGGAGGAAAGGCAGAACCTGTGGGTGGAGTCAAGAGAGGAATCAGCCTGGGGTTATTACATTTCCACACGTGATCAAAGTCTAAACCCTCTTGAATTCTGTTGAGTCTTATCTAGCACCAATTTAGTGCTGGCCATTAGTTGACTAGATTCTTCTGTACAGGCATGACCAATAAATCAGCTTAACTGGAGCTTACAATGTGTCGTCCTGATTTTTCCCGCCTGACATCAACTTATCTGGTCCTTTTTTTAAAACTCAGTTTTGTTGTTCTAAGATTCCTCGAAATTTAGGAAAATTATTTTTCCTACTTGAGCCAAGTAAGTATAAAGGAAAACATACCACATCAATTTTTCCTCATCTAAAAGAGATTCCAGAACTTTCTATTTTGTTTCCTCTGAAACAAATATTTTTTCTGCTTATTACATACTGTATGTTGTGAACCTTGTTTGTCATCTGTGTTGCGTTCACTTTATTCGGAGATTCGTGGCTATCTAAATCATTTAAACAAGCCGTTGTAATGGCGAGATGAGCAGCACATCAGTTTAATAAATGAATCGAAATAAAATGAAAAAAAAAACAGACTCGACTGTAAGCGGGCAACAAATTTTCATACCCTTCAAATTATAGAAATTGACCTTTATTTAACACAATACTTAAGTTTCTTTTATTTTTGTTTTGATATAAAGTGACATTTTTAGTACAGAAAATTTACGGTTGGAACAGTATTGGTTTCTTTCAGTCGTACCATCGTCCACCTGAAGCCTCTTTCCTTTGAAAAAAAAAAAATAGAACTGCTGTCCCTCAACGTATAAACAAAATTTTCACTCTGCATGTATTATAACCTTTCTACATTTTTTTTCCTTTCTCTGTGGTATTCAGTACTACAAAATAGTATCTGTAAAACAAAAGATATAATTTCTAACCAAGTGCTGCTTTTGAGTCATTGTGCAAGAAAAATCCCTTTTTTTTTAAAATTAATGCAAATAAAAAAAGGGAAAAAAATCTCAAAACTGGAAGGCAAGCCCACAGAACAAAAATCTATCTAATGAAATGTTAGGAACGTGTTAGCCACAAACGCGGCTCTAAACAAAATCTTTTAGCAATCAAGGTAGGGCATCGACAAAACACGACATGCAATTATTTTACGAAGGAAAAAATATAATAAAATGACGGGTGGGGGAGGAAAAAAAGTCCTATTTTTTAAAAATAAAAAAGGAAGAGAAGGGAGGGGGAAGCAATATACAGTGGAGATCGATACAGCCAGGAAATACAAATTCTAACAAATTTAAAAAAACAAAAGCGTACACATGTTGTTGTTGTTGTTGTTGTTATTTTTTCCCAACAGGGGTAAAACTATCAGTTATAGATCACACTAGAGAAGCTGTCAGGGTCCCCTAAAACTGAACTTGCTTCTAATTAAATAATAAAAAAAATCCCTATGGCTATTTTACTCCAAGGACCAACTTTCACCAATGTTGTGTAAACTATCTACACATGGTTAACATAAACAGCCTAGGCCTAACTTATAACCCCCCCTTTTTTATTTGTGGTTTGACACAAAGCCCAAACCCAATTCTTAAAGAGACAAGGAGCATACAGCATGAGATTTAAATACCAAAAAGTTATGCATAAAATAAACCAGTAACTTTGGACAAAGAACACTGGACGCACACACACGCACACACACACACACGCACACAGTGGCCTGACCCATTGGGGGGGGATTTCCTTTTCCCCATCAAGTACCTGTAGGGGAAGCCCACTCCTCAAAATTCATGCATGCAATCCTGGCCTAAAACGGCTGCACACTTCAAGAAAGAGAGTTCCTTCTCACACCGTTGTCATGGGGTGTGTGTGTGTGGAGGGGGAGGGGGGCAGCCGAGGAGAAGCTCAAAAAACGATTGCTTGTTGTTGTTGTTTAAAAAAATTCAAGTAAACACAAACCCAAAATATTGGGGAGAAGGGCAAAGGTTTTGTAAACGTAACCTAAACGATTCTTCTTCTTCTTTTTCTTTTTCTTGCAGCTTTGCAAAGTTTTTTTTTTTTTTCTGGAAAAAAAAAAAGAACTGGATTTGATCGTCCGTGGCGAGAGAAACATCGGAAGAATTCTGCTGTCAGCAACGGATCGCTTCCTTCCAAACACAAGTCGCCGATAACGTGGCGTGAGATGCTTTCCAACCTACCACACAGATAACCCCATCAGCCATTCACGTAGAATCTGTTGCAGTTACAGTATTTTATTTTTTTTCCACAGCGTCCATCTATTGGGGGCCAGCAGGAATCCACAGGACTTTGTTCTGCTCTTGATCCACGGTGGCCAAGATTTGAGTGCAAATGGCTGGAAGTGGTCCTCCTTGGACAATGCCTGGGGAAACAAGAATAGAATAGAGTAGAGTAGAGTAGAGTAGAGTAGAGTAGAGTAGAGTACAGTAGAGTAGAGTAGAGTGAAGTGGAGTGGAGTGGAATGGAATAGAACAGAACAGAGTAGAGTAGAGTAGAATAGAATGTAGAGTGGAATATAAAATAAGATGGAGTGGAGTGGAGTGGAGTAGAGTAGAGTAGAATAGAACGTAGAGTGGAATATAGAGTAGAGTAGAATAGAATGTAGAGTGGAATATAGAATAAGATGGAGTGGAGTGGAGTGGAGTGGAGTAGAGTAGAGTAGAATAGAACGTAGAGTGGAATGTAGAGTAGAGTAGAGTAGAGTAGAGTAGAGTAGAGTAGAGTAGAGTAGAGTAGAGTAGAGTAGAATAGAGTAGAGTAGAGTAGAGTAGAGTAGAGTGGAATATAGAATAGGATGGGATGGGATGGAATGGAATAGTCCTGCAAGTTTGAGGGTATTATTTTTTCTTTTCTTTTGTTCAATAGGCTGAGGAGAAGTGCCACTCAAGAGATGAAGAACTGGCTGGTAGGTTTATGGAGATTCTTCGTCATCCAGATCCTGATTGTCTCAAAGGTGTTTTTTTCAGGAAGCAACTGGACTTCCTTGTTTTTCTTTGAAGACGTTTCGCTTCTCCTCCAAGAAGCTTCTTCAGCTCTGACTGCAGGGTGGGGAATGGAAGGATTTATACTCCTTGCAGACAGCCAGTCATTTGCATCCTTTTAGAGAGTTGTTGAGGCCACTTGGAGGTTTTTCTGTGTCTTCAGCATCACCTGAATGGTACAAATGGGTGTGGAGCCTTCTTGGAACAACACAATCCTTTCAGCAGCTCCGAGAAGGCTCCACACCCATTTGCACCACTCAGGTGACGCTGAGGACACAGACAAACCTCCAAGTGGCCTCAAGGACTCTCTAAAAGGATGCAAATGACCAGCTGTCTGCAAGGAGTATAAATCCTTCCCTTCCCCATCATCCAGTCAAAGCTGAAGAAGCTTCTGGGATGAGAAGCGAAACGTTTTCAAAGAAAAACAAGAAAAGTCCAATTGCCTCTTGAAAAAGCATCTTTGGGACATCTTTATTTTATAGTTTTCATATGATCATAAGGCTAATCAATCGGCAAACTACCTATACAGAAGCAGCACTCAAAGCGCAGATTTGCTGTCCACTCCCTTCAAAGGAATGAATCAGCTAAAATCGGATCGGGCGAGAAGATCTTATGCAACCCTTTAATTCCGCGTATGTGTGTTCTTAACACAGCATCATATTCTCAGCACCTCATCAGCAGCCTCCTATAACAGCCACTCTGACTCCTGGGTTTTTAATAGAACATTTTCTAAGCATCCCCCCGCGACCTTATTTTTAAAGTCCTCCGAATGGCTTAATTAGCTTTCCCAGTGATGAAAACATGGCAGGAGAAAAAGTAGGCAGGCAAATTAAATGGGAAAAAGAGATAAATTGTGGATGGCCAAATTTAAACAAATAATTAGCACACAAGCAAAATAAAAACAATTATTATTGTTATTATTATCATCATCATTATTGTTATTATCATTATTGTTGTTGTTCTTGTTGTTATTGCAGCGGCATGACAAAGTAGCAACCCTGGTGCATTGGCAGATCTGCAAGAAATAGCATTTGCCTGCAAGCAAGAACTGGTGAGACCATAAAATAGAGAAAGTCATAGACAATGAAAATGTTAAATTGCTCTGGGCCTTTTAGAATTCAAACAGACAAAGCAGCTGCCACATAACACCCCAGATTTAACAACTGTCGATAAGAAAGACAAAAAATGTCTGGATAGTGGACGTGGCAGTGCCTGGAGACAGCAGAATAGAGGAGAAAGAATTGGAGAAGATAACAAAAGACTTACAAATAGAAATAGAAAGATTGTGGCAAAAGCACGCAAGGGTAGTACCAATAGTAATAGGCGCCTTGGGTGCAATCCCAAAACAACTGGAGCACCACTTGAACACCATTGGCATTGACAAATTCGCTATTGGTCAATTGCAAAAGGCGGCCTTACTAGGAACTGCTTCCATCCTGCAACAATATCTGTAATACCATTAATCATCCACATCTGCCTATCCCAGGTCTTTGGTAAGGACTGGATAGGTAGACAAAAATGCCAAATCCAGTCCGAGCATTTGGCTGACTGTGCAATGAATAACAACAACTACCAAATTCCACAATGAAGACTCCCTAAGACAGTGGTTCTCAACCTGTGGGTTGGGACCCCATTTGGGGTCAAACGATCATTTCACGGGGGTCGCCAAACAACGCAGTCCGTCATTTTTCCCCCTTTTCCTTAGCTGTGCTACTCCCTTTTATTCTATTGGCTTTTGAAAGCCAATAGAATAGACTCTCTTGAATAGAGTCTAATTCTATTGGCTTTCAAAAGCCAATAGGAATTGTCCAGGCTGTCTCTGCCCTGCTGAGCCCGCCAAAAGTCCCATTCTGCAAACGGTGCTGCACCAGTTGAGTAGTCCTCGACTTACAACCGGTTGAGTAGCCCTTGACTTACGACCAGTTGGGGGTCACGGCATTAAAAAGGTTGAGAACCGCTGCCCTAAGAGAACTTTTTTTCTTCTTCTCACTGAGCTCTTCCTGGGAGCTATTTTGAGCAACCGCGAGTGAGAAAATTTGCACATTAAATTTAAATAGGGCTAGAAGGATGCGGTTACAGAAAAGCAAAACCCTTAATTTAGCAGGGGAGGGAGGAAGGGAAGAATAGAACAGGGAGGACGGGTGTAGCAACAACACACCGTTGATCGATATACAGGGTATAATATAGTAAAATTATAATAAAATCAAATACATCAGCAGCTCCCTTAACCGAAATATGTTTATCTGATGTCATTTTGGACAGGCGTCTGTTGCACAAAGAGACACCCGGGAAAAGTTAAGGAAACATTTTAGGTAGGCTATTTCCAAAAGCAATCCTTATTATTATTTTTTTTTAAGCACCTTTAAGACAGCTATGGCCTGGGTGACTGAGAATCTCCATTGAGATGAATATACCCAAAGCTGCTACACGGGAGAGGAGGGGTTGGTCTTTCCTGCTGATGTCACTGTACATTTTCAACGGGGAGTGATGAAATGAGGGCAGCTCCTTGGAAAGGCTCCAGTCCCTACCACCAAAGGGGGGGGGGAGAGAATATCCTGCTTCGTTCGGTAGCGTCTGTTTTCATAAATACCAACCTGTGAAATACTTGCTATATTCCTGTTCTATCTTCTGAGCCGTCTCAAACTGTTCTTTGGAATGTTTCTGTGTCACCTTGTCTTTCAAGAAGACAGGATCTTTTTGCTCCCTGGAAGACACAAATAGACGTAGGTATCAATCTCTTATCTTATTAAATGCTTGTGTTTCTTCTGGGGATCCAGGGAAGACCAAAGGGATTTATAGCAAAAGCTGACAGGAGGATGTGAGAGGAGAGCGCCATCTAGTGCCCACGGAAGGAACAGCAAAACTTTCACCAATCAAAATCTCCAAAGCAATCTCTGCTCTCAATAGAATAGAATAGAATAGAACAGAATATAGAATAGAATAGAGTAGAGTAGCGTAGAATAATAAAGTAGAGTAGAGTATATAATAACAGAATAGAATAGAATAGAATAGAATATATAGAGTAGAGTAGAGTAGAGTAGAGTAGAGTAGAATAGAATAGGAGAATATATTGAATAGAATATAGAATATATAGAACAGTGATTCTCAACCTTTTTAATGTCGCGACCCCCCAACCGGTCGTAAGCCGAGGACTACTCAACCGGTCGTAAGTCGAGGACTACTCAACTGGTGCAGCACCCTTTGCAGAATGGGACTTTTGGCGGGCTCAGCAGGGCAGAGACAGCCTGGACAATTCCTATTGGCTTTTGAAAGCCAATAGAATTAGACTCTATTCAAGAGAGTCTATTCTATTGGCTTTCAAAAGCCAATAGAATAAAAGGGAGTAGCACAGCTAAGGAAAAGGGGGGAAAAAATGGCGGACTGCGTTGTTTGGCGACCCCCGTGAAATGGTCGTTCGACCCCAAATGGGGTCCCGACCCACAGGTTGAGAACCACTGATATAGAAAGAGTATAATAGAGTAGAGTAGAGTAGAATATCTTTATTGTCATTGTGTATTCCACAACAAAATTAACTGCTGTCAACAGTGCATACTACACACAAGTAAAAACCACAATAGCCCACAAACCCACAGCCACACTCCGCCAAGAATTATCCAGAACCAAAGGCAAGCTACGGAAGGATTTTCAGTAAAGGATTATTACTCTTGATAATATCACGTCCCAGGACTTTTTCTGGAAATGCCAACTGGACAGTTGACATTAAACCAGCTCTGGACACCTGGAATTGACTGGCTCAGCGCCTTCTAAGAATTTTGAGGTTGACGTCAAAAAGGATGGCCATGGATCAGCTCGGAGGTCTTTCTGAAGGACTAAGAACTGGAAATATTTGCCATTGGAAGTGTTCTCTTTTACCACCATTTCATATCGCCATCATCTTTTTCGTTCACCTCTTATAAATGCTAAAGCAATGGAATTTTTGGTTTGATTTCTCCTTCCTCTTTTTGAAACTCTTCTCTGGTGTCCATGGATGGGAGAAGACCAAGACATTCCCATGGCTGTAGCCTTGACTGAGAATTTGCAAAAATGTCTCCCCAAAGACAACAGCAACCCGCTTACACGTTGTGCTCCCAACTCTCACATGGATACACCCATGGCGTTGGACAAAGTCAAGCTCAAGGCTTTATTAGTTGCGAAGCCGTGTCCGACCCATCATGACCCCATGGACAATGTTCCTCCAGGCCTTCCTGTCCTCTGCCATCTTCTGGAGTCCATTTAAGCTCACGCCTGCTGCTTCAGTGACTTCATCCAGGCTCCTCATTCTCTGTTGTCCCCTTCTTCTGTTGCCCTCAATCTTTCCCAGAATTAGGCTCTTCTCCAGTGAGAAGACCCTTATTCTTTATGGGCAATGCTTTATCTTTATTTATGTCAAGAATTACATGTCCAAATGGGCATCTGAAATCTCTCCCATTCTGGCAAATATTTGTGACTGATCAGGCTTGTTTCTTATTACATGTTGTAGACAACGAACATGAATGCTCAGCTTAATTCAGTTGCCTTCCAGTGCAGCTAACCAGAGGGAATTGTTAGGAACAACCCCACACACTGCACATGAATGCAAACCTTAAATCGTTTTTTTTTTTAAAAAAAAAAAAAAAAAACAACAACTCAGGATTGGTTAGGAGAAGGAGAAAGATACCCCTCCCCTGTCCAAACTCTATGACTCCATACTTCACACTTACTTGATCTGCTTGGCATTTTTGTAGCGAACGAAGATGACTATTGGGTAGATGTGAATGCTGTGCAGCCGCTCAATGGCGTGAGGTGCGATGTCCAGGAGGCAGTGACAGTCCTAAGGAAGGAAGAAGACAGACCTGCGGTTGGCTATTCAAAACACTGTGATGATGTTCATTCAACAGTTCTTAACAAGGAATTCTGCAAGACTGATCAGTATAATTAGTCCTATATTGTAGCAGAGGGTTGACACAACAGGAGCTCGCCTTTTGGTCTCACGTAAATCCAAAACCAAGCTATCTACCTCTACCTCTCCTCTCCCCCCCCTTTCCCTCTCCTTTCTCTGTTCTCTCCCTCCCCTCCCACTTCCTCCCCTCTCCTCTCCTCTCCTTTCCTCTCTCCTCTCCTTTCCCCTCCACTCTTTTTTGTCACCCCCCTCCTTTCCCTCTCCTCCACTCCTCTCCCTTCCTCTTCTCTCCTCTCCTCTTTCCCTCTCCTTTCTCTGTCCTCTCCCTCCCCTCCTCTCCCACTTCCTCCCCTCTCCTCTCCCCTCCTCTCCTTTCCCCTCCACTCTTTTTTGTCACCCCCCTCCTTTCCCTCTCCTCCTCTCCTCTCCTCTCTCCTCCACTCCTCTCCCTTCCTCCTCTCCTCTCCCTTTCCCTCTCCTTTCTCTGTCCTCTCCCTCCCCTCCTCTCCCACTTCCTCCCCTCTCCTCTCCTTTCCTCTCTCCTCTCCTTTCCCCTCCACTCTGTCACCCCTCTCCTTTCCCTCTCCCCTCTCCTCCACTCCTCTCCCTTCCTCTTCCTCTCCTCTCCCCTCCCTTTCCCTCTTTCTGTCCTCTCCCTCCCCTCCTCTCCCACTTTCTCCCCTCTCCTCTCCCCTCCTCTCCTTTCCTCTCTCCTCTCCTTTCCCCTCCACTCTTTTTTGTCACCCCTTCTCTCTCCCCTCTCCTCTTCCTCTCCTCTCCCCTCCCTTTCTCCTTTCTCTGTCCTCTCCCTCCCCTCCTCTCCCACTTCCTCTCCCCTCCTTTCCTCTCTCTCCTCCTCTCCTTTCTCCTCCACTTTTTTGTCACCCCCCTCCTTTCCCTCTCCCCTCTCCTCTCTCCCTTTCTCTTCCTCTCCTCTCCCCTTTCCCTCTCCTTTCTCTGTCCTCTCCCTCCCCTCCTCTCCCACTTCCTCCCCTCTCCTCTCCCCTCCTCTCCTTTCCCCTCCACTCTTTTTTGTCACCCCCTCTCCTTTCCCTTTCCTCCTCTCCTCTCTCCCTTCCTCTTCCTATCCTCTCCACTCCTCTCTTCTTTGCTTTCCTACTCCTGGACCCCAGAACTTAACCTAAAGAGACAGATTCACCAATAACCTAAGTTTGTGCTTGGACCACCTCTGAACTGATGTAGCCATTCCATCAAGACAGAACATAAAACGCAGAACAAAAGACTTGGAAGGGACCTTGGAAATCCTCTAGTTCAACCTTCTGTTCTAGCAGGAACCCGTTATCATTCCGGGAAAAATGGCTGTCCAGTCTTTTCTTGAGCCGTGGTAGCACAGTGGTTAGAATGTGGTACTGCCGGCTACTTCTGCTGACTGCCGGTTGTCTGCAGTTCAGCAGTTTGATTCTCGCTGGCTCAAGGTTGACTCTGCCTTCCATCCTTCTCAGGTTGGTAAAATGAAGACCCAGATTGTTGTGGGGCAATAGGCTGACTCTCTAAACTGCTTAGAGAGGGCTGTAAAGCACTGTGAAATGGTATATAAGTCTAGGTATTATTGCTAGGAAGGAAGGAAGGAAGGAAGGAAGGAAGGAAGGAAGGAAGGAAGGAAGGAAGGGAGGGAGGGAGGGAGGGTGGGCCGTGGTAGCGGAGTGGTTAGAATACAGTATTACAGCCTAATTCTGCCTATTGCCAGCAGTTCGATCCTGACCAACTCAGTTGACTCAGCCTTCCATCCTTCCGAGGTCAGTAAAACGAGGACCCAGATTGTTGGGGGCAACAGGCTGACTCTTAAACCGCTTAGAAAGGGCTATAAAGCATCATGAAGCGGTCTATAAATATAAGTGCTATTGCTATTGCTACTGAATTCTTGAAGATATTTATCTCTCTTATTTTGTTCTGCGCACATTACCTATTTAATACAAGTGGTTTTTCTTTAAAAAAATCTGAGTTTTGATTCATGTAGAACTGATCGGCTTGACTTCTTAGCCTCTACGTTGCTCTAACAATAGAAATGAATCTGTTGGTACCACACAGAGCTCAAGTATCCTCTGGTGAGGGCTGTTTCCAGTTGAACATGTTGTGCAAGCAAAAGTCAACGACCACATCAATGGTTTGCTTTCACAAACTGAAGCCACAATTCTCCGGTGGTTAGCACAATTAGAGAACGAAAATGCACGGGCTGCGGTTTCCTGCCTTGTGCCTTGCCCAAGTCTATAACTATTTTTATAGATGTGAAGTCAACAAGTTCTAAAATAAGGAAGGATAATAAATCAGCCAAGAAGCAATCAAATATACCATTGTTCCTTGGTTCTTCTGCAAGGCTGGCTGATTGTGGCTTGTTCAAGAAGCCATGATTAAAACCAGCAGAGCTTTAGTCCAATGTGTCTGTTTTTAAACACCAACATTTTGACATAGCTGAGAAGGAACTGCTTTTGTCAGATTGCTAGAAGCTTCCGATCCCATCCTATTTCAAAACGTTTGGGACAATTTTTCCAGTCTCTTATTTGAGAAGCCAACAGGGTTAAACCACCTGAAAAATCTACAATTGTGTTCCTTTTTTTTTTTTTTCCTATCAAGAGGATAAGACTGGAGGAAAGAAAAGCACCTTCTCGGTTATCTCCTTTATGGAAGCGACGGTTGTCACGTCAAAATGTCCACTCCTCCGTTTATAATCTATGAACAGACAGTCTTTCACGCCCCGTTCAATGGCTTGTTGTGAAGCTTTCATCACCTCTGTTTGGAAAACAAAAAAAACAAACATCGGTTTGTTCAGTTTTAGCCAAAATAGGTGGATCTTACGGAAACACATGGGGTTTTTTTTCTGACCCAGGTTTCATGGGTGCAATTATTGGGTGGCCTAGATCTGGAAAAAGACTGTCTGAGATCATCAAGGAATTCATCCTGCATCTGCAAACTTGTTTCTTCCCTTTTAAAGATTCTGTAATCACTGTCATCGGAGTGGAGTTGGGGCAACTGAATGGAGCTGAGTATTTACTGACCAGATGCCCTTCCTGATGCCTATGTGAAGCTCACAGCAGACGTTTTCTCTTTGCGCCCTAGAAGAGAGAAACATCTGCTGCTACCTTGGTTCGAACTCAACCACCTCCTGATTGTGAAGCGAGAGCACGACTTCCAGGCCACCACACGCTACTCTTTCATAGGAAAACAGTCCCCAGAGTGAAATGCCCTATTGTTGCACGGGCAGACTAGGTTTCCAAAACCTGAACCCTGGAGGAGGCTGGCTTCCCACCTGTTTCCTTTTGTGCCTTGCCCAAGTCTGTAACTATTTTTTTGATAGACGAAGTCAACAATTTCAGAGGGACAGGAATTAAGAGCAAAAGAGGAGAATGCAAAAGCGAATGGAGAAAACAGGTCACGCTGAAGAATCTTTTCTATTTTATTTCAGAAGCTCCAGAAAGTCCTTCAAGAGATGACTAAGTAGTCAACCCTGAAGAAGGACCAGCTGCTAGGACGGATGTCCACTCATTTTTTTTTTCGCTTCCTAGTTTGAAGGTTCAGATAATGGGACATCCAGCAAACCATAAATAGAAGCAGCTGGCATCCAAGTCACATAAACAGGTATTAATTGCTTGAATGGAAGTACTTTTCGAATATTTTAGGAAGCTCCTTCCATAAACAGATGTTATGTGGAGGTGCAAAGGAGACCAGGACCATCATTAAGTTACAGAAGATAGATTCAAGCTTATACACAAGAATCTGATCAATTAAAGTTCAGCACTAAATTGCTGCGCAATGGAATTCAATAGGAACTAAACTTGGATTGTTTGTGGCAATGTAAAGTCTCTGTGCTTATGACACATTTAACTCTGGTCCCCAACTCTGCCTGCTCTTCTCCTACATCATCTTTCTTAGGAGAGACCCCCCCCAAACAATGGACCTACCAAGGGGACATCTGCAAAATTTCTCTGGTGATTCTTTGACCAACATATCTTTCACAGCATCAAGTAACGGCCCAAGGATAAGCACCGGTCTAGGAGATGTGCAGTCTACCTTTTGGACTCGTTGATATGCCAGGCTGACAGCATCTGCAAAGAAAGAAGACCCCGCTTGCATTTTGTCCTGTGTTTCTCCTAGTCGTGTCACACTCAAAAGCAACACAACAGGAAAAACAACAACTCGTTCTGAGGTCCTCTTCCCAGAAGGTGGATCTCAAGTCTGTTTTGTGCCAAGTCTGGGTCAGGTGCCCAATCCACCCACTGTTCTACCCACTCAAGAAACTGCTCATACAGCAAAAAAACACACACAAACACAAATGGCTATGAGGAAATGAATAGCGAAGGATGGGCTGCACCTCAACAAGACCTGGGGAAAATGACTGGCTCAACTCATTAGAAGGATTTTAAACTCAAAAAGGGGGGTGAGGGTAACCAATCTCTAAGACTTAATTCCAAGCACAAACTCCAGGACAACCAATCAAACAATGAGACAGAAAGTGATGGGATGGAAGAAAAACTCAGACGTAACATAGGAGACATAGGAAGCATAACTAGGGTCAACCATAAAAGACTCAAATGCCTAGACACAACAAATGCTCATAGTTTAGGGAACAAACAGGGTGAACTTGAAGTACTAATACATGAAGGTAATTATTATATAGTTCAAATTACCAAAACATGGTGGGAAGAAGGGCCTTCTCTTTCAAGGTCCTGTGCTTTGTCTTTCTAATTCACCAAGTACACAAAGGAAGCAGACTGGAAGTTGTGTTTGTGTGTTGACTGATCTCTCTTGAAGAACATCATGGAACCACAAACTGGGAAGACTTAACATTCATCTTACTGGCAGCATTTGCTATAAACACAGTGACTAGGAAGTCTGACATCAATAACCTGGTTTGACCTCTGAGCTTGGCAATTTGGTTGCAAACATTTCGACACCATTCGAGATGGCGGCGTCCATGAGCTTTGAATTGTGCTCATCTGTCAAAGCACTGGCCTTTAAATACCTTTTTAGCACCCGAACAAACAACACTAATGCTAATTTGCATCACACAGGTGGTACTTAACACCAAAGACTATGTCCCAGCAACAACAACCAGTCAATCAAGCAGTCTGAAATCAGCCTACGCCTCAGAAATATCCAAACAAATAACATTCGTACCAATTTGCATCACATAAAAAGGTATTTAAAGGCCAGTGCTCTGACAGACGAGCACAATTCAAAGCACACTGACGATGTCCCCCCTGAATGGTGACGAAACATTTGGAACCAAATTGCCAAGCTCGGAGATCAACCCAACAGCCCAAATACCAACCTGAGCTACTAATACTCAAACAGATTTCAATCAATAAGAAAACTGAAGACTACCAGGGAGACTTAAGCTACTGTCCTACTTTGAATCCAAAACACACAAGTGTTTGGTGTCCTCTTTCCACTACAGTCCTGCTCGATCTGGAACGAGAGCAAAGCATCCCTTTCAAACTTCGTTGCACAAAGCCGTGTATTCTTAGCATGAAACAAAGCTCTTGTATCGCCTTACTTCACCCGATTTCCCTTCTCCCTTCTCCCTCTGCGTATGCAATCCACAGAACCTGAGCAGAAAAATCTCTTTCGGCATTCGCAAGAGTCGGAGATTAAAAGCAACCATCGGGCGAGGCCAAATGCCTTGCGGAAGTGAAACGAATCCTGTTATTTCTAAGACACCAAGTACTTTCTTCGCTAAGGCAAATTTAAGCTGTTTCGCAGAGACTACGGCATACGGAAGCAACTGAACGTGTTAGGAAAAGTGCAAAAAGTAAGATCGCTTGTAGGAAATTCACTAGGATAAAGGGTTATGGCCCACACAAATCTGTTATTTAAAAAGTTAACTTCTTTTTAAGAACGAAATTCAGTTATGGGCCCCTACAACTGGACAGCTTAAAAAGCCCCTCCAGAACTGTAGCTATGCGTTTTCGATTGTGCAGCCTCCTTCTGCGTTTGCAGCACACAAAGCTTGAGTAGACAAGTCCTACGAATGGTTCTGCCCTGCTTTAATTGAACGCAACGGTCACTTGCCATCCAGGAAAGGAATGGAGTCGTTGCTGATGGTGTCGAGGGCCAGCAGATCTTTGCCGTCTTTGGACCCGCTGCGCTTGTGTTTGTGTTTCCTTCTGAAGAAGGACCTGCGAGCCGCAGCGGACGAGGTCTTTGAGGAACTGTTCTCATCTTTGGCCTCGGACATGCTGTGCCTCCGGTAGAATTCCTGCTCCATTCTGCAAGGAAAGGGTTGGGGGAAGAATCAGGCAGCTGGAGGAAGAAAGGCCACCGAGAAAATTCCTCAAGAAAAAAGTTGGTTGTAAGAGAAAGGTAGTCCCTGGCTTACAGCCACAACTGAGCTCAAGGTTTATTTTCCAAAGGGGGGACATTGGTTAAGTGACGTTTATGACGTCACTTTATGACGGTCCTAGTGTCCTTTTGTGACTTTCCGACAAGCAAAGTCACTGGGGAAGCTGGATTCATTTGGCAACCGTGACAACCGTCACTTAACAAATGTCTCAGTGAGGAAAATAAAATGTTGGCCTCCGTTGTAGCCGTTATGTCGATGACTGACTACCTGTCGATTTTTCTCTTCTACTTGAGTACATTTTCATCCAGACAGGAACAAATGCAGCACACTCTATCTAATTCTGCAACAATTCCTGTTTGTTTGTGGCATCCTCGATCTAGCTAATTCCCGAAATCATAAAAAAAGGCCCAGTTGCAGAACTGCCATGGGTGGGTCCCCAAGGAAAGATCTGAGGTGGCACGGAGAGCAAAAAGGATAAATTTGGCAGCCTAGAATAAGACAAGCTGGTAGCCGATTTCAATGCCACGAAGTCGGTCTTTTAATTGAAGCCATGTGACCGCTTCACCCCTCCTTCTCAAAATTCCTGATCTTTGAAAAAAAACAACAAAACATTAATTTAGTGGATTAAAGAAGGACGGCGTCCCAACCTCAGGATCCAAATTAAACTCAGATGCCACAGCCGTGGAGAGAACGTGCCACAACATGATTAGGGGAGATGCTGGTTTGGCTTTTAGTCTGAGATCAGAACACAAAGTCCGTTCCATTTTTAGGTGGGGAGAAATTGCCAATGCCACCAGCGTGACTGGCTTCCACCTCTTTCTCCCAGCCGTGGTGGGAAACTGGAGATGGCCCGTCCCAATCAAGTCATGAAGCCTAGAAGGCTTGGATTTATTTTTACTTCCTTCAAATAGCTTTATTCGGGCAACGCCTTAAATCCCATTGAAATCGCCAGGGTGCAATTACATGTATTTGCTGGGGATCTGTCCTCTTTCCAGCTTCTGAGCGTTTTCATCCAGCTGCCAAGCCATCCAACAGCCGAAGTTCCCTTGGGGCAGAGTGTCATCAACGTACAAAATGTCATCTTTTTTGAAACTCAAGTCCTGCTTGACTTCTGCTAGTCGGTCATAGAGGGCCCTGTGAGGAGAGGGAGACAGATGACCATATGCATTTTGGTTTAATCATCTCAAATATTTAATATTATTTTAAGTCGGTCCTTAAGTCACCTTCCTGTTATAGCACAAAGTTCTTTACATGTGGCCAATATTCCTATGAAGCTGTTGTAGTAACGTGGCTGAGTTTTCTGCACTAAACCAGGAATAAAAGCTTGTGTGCATAAACAGCTGATGAAAACACTAGACAAAATGTTTAAGTACCTGACATAGAAACCATCTCCAGGTAAATCTTTGATTCTGTTGAATTCTTCAATTCTGTACTGAGCTTTTATTCTGATAGTGTCACCCGGTTTGAGCATTTCAAGGTAAGCTTCCTCAGCTGTTTTATTTCGCATGTCAACGGATCCGTACTGTTAAAAAGACACAAAACAATAAAACAGGGCCACGTGTTTAAGGGTTGCTGATGAACTTCATTATCAGCCAAAATTGGTAATTAACACTAACCTTTTCAGATGATCTAAAACAGTGTTTCTCAACCTTGACAATTTTAAGGCATGTGGACTTCAACTCCCAGAATTCCACAGCCAGCATTGCTGGCTGTGGAATTCTGGGAGTTGAAGTCCACATGCCTTAAAATTGTCAAGGCTGAGAAACACTGATCTAAAATGTCACCAAGTCTACCTCCAAATGTATCTCATCGAGGTTACTCATCCAAATAATGTTTTCAGTAAAAAAAAAATGAAAAATTTTGGACAATCTGAGAGCCGTTGGGAAGAACCAATTCTTGCCCCTATAGAACTGCAGGGGGTTTTCTCCCCCAAATGAAAAGCAACTTGTAAATGAAGGTTCAGTCATCCAGTTTATTTGGATGAGTTAACAAAATGTCTCAGTTTTCAAAAAATTTGCTTCATTTGCCATGATTTAACCTTTTTTTTTTTTAAGATCCTTTTGGCCTGCATCATTGACTCTCTGCCTACCCAAATTTTCACTTTGACTGAAGACGTTACTTGGGTGTGTAAATGAAATGTCTCACTTTTAATAAACTTTGGTCTAGTCTATATCTTTAACCTCTTCAGATATCCAAATCCCATCACTCTTGTTGGTGTGGCTAAGAATTATGATCGACAAAGTTCTAGAGAGGATCCATAATGTTTCCTTAACTTTTCCCTGGGATCCCCAGTAAATTTTGGTCCGGCTGCCCTGATTTAACCTTTTGAGATACTCAGAAATATTCTAAAACTGGCGGACAAAAATACGACGACCCCCAAATTTGTTCTGTGTGACTTCGTTCACACCATCACCCTCTTTTTCATAGTATCTGGAACTTCTTGGTCCCTCTTCTTCTAACATGGACAGCGTACCTCCACTATTAGATCTCCTGGCCTCAGGCCTTCAGGTCCTTTGGCTGGGCTGTCATCTTCTAGATCAGAGACAAATATTCCGTGCACGTTCCCACCGCTGATTTGGATTCCGACCTCCGCCTGAGGTTTCTTGATGTTCACCGTTCTGGGTTCAGGTGTCCTTTTAATCGTGTCAGCAGAACTCCTTTGAACAAGAGACAAGAGTGAAGAAGGCCTCTGGGTCAAACTGACCCTCTGTGGCTGCTGCTCCCCTAACTCTTCCTGGGAGGGGAGGGATAAAGGTAAAAGGATGCTCCAGCGGTGGATTTTGGGAGCCTCAGGACAGGAATGAAAATGTTCCCCACTCAATATTTGGATGCCAGGAGCCACGTGGAAACTCAACTCTTTGTCCCTTGCCAAGAAATTTCAAAAAATTCAAGCATCCTTTAAGAGAGAGAGGAGAGAGAGAGAGAGAGAGAGAGAGAGAGAGAGAGAGAGAGAGAGAGAGAGAGAGAGAGAGAGAGAGGAGAGAGGAGAGAGAGAGAAAGGGGAGAGAAAGAGAGAGACAGAGAGAGAGAGAAGGGGAGAGAGAGAGGAGAGGGAGAGAGGAGGAGGAGAGAAAAAGAAGGCAAGAGGGAGAGGAGAGAGAGAGGAGAGAGAGAGAGAAAGACAGAGAGAAAGAAGGGGAGAGAGAGGAGGAGGAGGAGAGAAAAAGAAGGCAAGAGAGAGAGGAGAGAGAGAAAGGCGAGAGAAAGACAGAAGGAGAGAGGACAGAGAGAGAGAGAGGAGAGAGAAGGGGAGAGAGAGGAGAGGGAGAGAGAAAAAGAAGGCAAGAGAGAGAGGAGAGAGAGAAAGGAGAAAGACAGAAGGAGAGAGGACAGAGAGAGAGAGAGGAGAGAGAGAGAAGGGGAGAGAGAGAGGAGAGGGAGAGGAGGAGGAGAGAAAAAGAAGGCAAGAGAGAGAGGAGAGAGAGAGAGAAAGACAGAGAGAGAGAGAAGGGGAGAGAGAGAGAGAGGAGAGGAAGAGAGGAGGAGGAAAGAAAAAGAAGGCAAGAGAGAGAGGAGAGAAAGGAGAGAGAAAGACAGAAGGAGAGAGGACACAGAGAGAGAGAGGAGAGAGAGAGAGGGGAGAGAGAGAAGGAGAAACAGAGAAGAAGAGAGAGAGAAGGAGGGAGAAAGAGAGAAAGCACCTGAAAGCAGGGCAAGAAGCAACGGATGGAAATTAATCAAGGAGAGAAGCAACCTAGAACTAAGGAGAAACTTCCTAACTATTAGAACAAATAACCAGTGGAACAACCTGTCTCCAAAAGCTGTGGATGCTCCAACACTGGATGTTTTTTTAAAAAGAGACTGGACAAACCATTTGTCTGAAATGGTATAGGGTTTCCTGCCTGAGCAGGGGGTTGGACTAGAAGACCTCCAAGGTCCCTTCCGTGTTTATTCTATATATATATATTTCTATACATCATTAGTACCTTCATGATGTTACCTAGTTTAGGTCATAAAATGTCTGCAAGGAAACAACCAGGCTTAAGAGAGCATCAAGAACCTGTCAGAAATTAGACTCAAACACGGGAGGGATCTATCCCTGGGGAAGGCTGTGCCAGATCACAAAAGGTTCCTACTGAAATAAGCACCGTCTGTTGTTGGGGAAGTAGCTTACCTAACCGAATTGCGGGGACTGGTGGTGGGCGTGGTCTCCTTGGAGGGAGGGGTCATGGTCCCTTCATCTTGTTCGCTCACAGTATCAATTATGGAATGGCTGTCCGGAGTTGGGCCTTGTGGAGGGGAATGGCTACTCGCTGGTTCCAGGCGGGAGCTTTAAAGGAAAGAAGGGAGCCACAGCAGAAGTGAATTAAAGGCGATTGGAATGCGCCATCTTTCAAGAACGGCACAAATTCTCGGGGTCTGGACCAGACGGTTGCCTTCTTCCGCCTCGTGCTGGCTGGGGAATTCTGGGAGTCGAAGTCCAGAGGCTTTCAAGTTGCCAAGGTTGGGGAGCACTGAATTTATTTGAGGGGCTGACACAAAGAAGAGGAGGGGGCCAACGTATTTTCAAACACACCAGAAGCCAAGACGAGAAACAACGGATGGGAACTCATCACGGGGAGAAGCAACCTGGAACTAAGGAGAAACTTCCTGACCGTGAAGACAATTAACTAGTGGAACAGAAGTTGCCTCCAGAAGTTGTGGGTGCTCCATCACTCGAGGTCTTTAAGAAGACACTAGGCAGCCACTTGTGGTATAGGGTCTCCTGCTTGAGCAGGGGTTGGACTAGAACAGCGGTTTTCAACCTGTGGGTCGGGACCCCATTTGGGGTCGAACGACCATTTCACGGGGGTCGCCAAACAACGCAGTCCGCCATTTTTTCCCCCTTTTCCTTAGCTGTGCTACTCCCTTTTATTCTATTGGCTTTTGAAAGCCAATAGAATAGACTCTCTTGAATAGAGTCTAATTCTATTGGCTTTCAAAAGCCAATAGGAATTGTCCAGGCTGTCTCTGCCCTGCTGAGCCTGCCAAAAGTCCCATTCTGCAAACGGTGCTGCACCAGTTGAGTAGTCCTCGATTTACGACCGGTTGAGTAGTCCTTGACTTATGACCGGTTGGGGGTCGCGGCATTAAAAAGGTTGAGAACCACTGGACTAGAAGACCTCCAAGGTCCCTTCCAACTCTATTCTGATTGACTGAATGCCTTTGAACTTTATATGAAACTGTGGTTTAGTCCACCATGGGTTTCTTGGGAAAAGACTAAGGAAGCCAATTTCTTTCCATTTCAAGCCAGACTTCTTCAAAGAAGGGAAAACCTCACTCACAAAGTGAGAATGAAACACATTTTTGCACACTTTTAGCTCTGCCTACATTCCCTACAGCTTCAAGCTGGTCAACAGATGCTACAACTTGCTATTTAAAACAAAAAACAAAAAAAAACAAAAAAACCCCTTGCTTTTTCTGGGTTAAGTGCAAAGGTATCCTGGTTTTTTTTTTTTTTTCTGGTCTCCAATTCAAACATATACCCCTGGAAAACAATGTTCCAAAGTGAGTAACCTTGTTTATCTATTTTGTAAACCAATAAAATTAAAAGGATCTTTTGCAGAGATCTATCAAGAGGACTTGTGACTCCATCTCTCTTTTCAGCTTCCTCATCCTGCCTCTCTTACTGTAATCCAGGGGTCTCCAATCCCTGGGCTGTGGCCCGCTACTGGGCTGCAGAAGTGGCAGGCAAGCACGCATGCACACATGCGCATCCCCACTTGTGTGAGCAACGGGCGAGTGCGTGCACTTCTTTTGTGTGAGTGGTGGGACTCACAGGGAACCATATCCTCTTCCCCCCACTCCCCCTGGCCAGGCTGAAAAGCCAAAACGATTGGGGAAATCTGCTAAAATCTGCTAATCAATCAACTGATGCTTCACGCTCTCTGGTTCAAACCTACTCCTGGAGAAAAAAGATCTTCACAGGATACCGAGAAGGTCTAAGCTTACCTTGATCGTGAATGATTGCCCAGCTGGAACATGTGAGGATTGTACTGTGCCAAAATAGTTATGGTATCGCACTGCTGTCCAATGATCAGCCGAGCTTGTTGTTCTGTAGCGTTTCGCAAGTTGATTCCATTAAACTGGGAAAAGACAGGAACCACACACAGATTCATTCACAACAGTTGAACATTGCTAACCTTGTTTGCCTGAAATTTGATTTCCCCAACTGATGGAATATGTTGCACTAAGATTTTTTCCAACTGATTGTTTCCCTTGCATTAAGTTGTGAGTGCATGCGTGCTAGCTCAGAACTTGGTTTTGTAGTACTTAATGACCTCCTTTGGGAGAAAGAAGCCTTCTGAGTTTTGAGGAAAATGCCATGCCTACATAGGTAGTTCTCTCGACTGACGAGCAGAATTGAGCGCAAAGTTACTGTGGCTAAACAAGACCGTTATTAAGTGAATTTTGTTCCATTTTATGCCCTTTCTTGCTAAGTGGATCGCTGCAGTTAGTAAGTTAGTAACCCAGTTGTTAAGTGAAGCTGGCTTCACCCCATTGGCTTTTCCTGTCAGAAGCTGGCTGGGCAGATTACAATGGTGATCACGTGACCCTGGGACAGTAAAACTGTCATGAGTACAAGCCAGTGGCCCAGCATCTGAATTTTGATCACATAAGCATGAAGATGCTGCAATGGTTGTTAAGTGTGAAAAATGGTCATCAGCTGCCTTTTTTTGAAGGTTGTTGCAACTTCGGTCACTGAACGTTGTTAAGTCGAGGACTACCTGCACCTACGTCATGGTTGTCAGGATAAAGGCATTAGCCAGGGGGGGAAAGAACATTCTTGAAAGGACATTAGTAAAAATAACCACCACTTCTCTGTGATGAGATCTCTCAATTTTCTTTTGAGTTACATTTGGGCAGATAGGCCCACTTCCATACAAAACTCTTTTGCCATTTTTATTCTCTACAAAGCCCGAAGCATTCTTGGAAACGAAGAGAATGCTAGTGTTGGGGGAAAAAAATAAGTAGGAATGTAACACAGTGCAAAAAAAAAAAAAAACATGGAGATGTGTGAACCCACAAGGGAGACAGCATAAAGGACAAGGGAGATGTATTTGGATTCATCCCTGTTTACCAACAGCCTGTTAAACCACCCATCCTTAGAAACAAGGGTATTTGCAGTAGAGTAGGGGTTCCCAACCCGTTCTGTGGACCGGTACCGGGCCGTGGCATGCCAGAAGCCTGTCCATGCAAACAAGCAAAGCCACATCCATGGGATGCAGGCAGTACATGAAACCATACCCCCTCCGGCCTGTGGGAAAACCTCTCTCCGTGGAACTAGTCCCTGGTGCCCAAAAGGTTGGGGACCTCTGCAGTAGAGCACGTCAACGAAAGCTAGTTAAAATGCCAATAAATCCGAGTATTTGAAGGCATCTGAACAGCTTTTGATCAAGGTAGCCCTTGACTTACGAGTTAAGACAATCGAGTCGTCAACCGAGATGTTTGCTAAGTGAGTTTTGCCCCATTTTACGACTTTTCCTCCTACCGTTGTTCAGATGATTAGTTAGTGACCCCGTTGTTAAGTGAATCCGGCTTCCCCATTGGCTTTGCTTGTCAGGAGGTCACAAAAGGGGATCACACGAGACACTGCAACTGTCGTAAGTACACGCCAGTTGCCAAGGAGCTGAATTTTGAGCCCCTGACCGTGGGGGATGCTGCGTGGAAAACGGTCCTAGGTCATTTTTCCCAGTGCTGTCGTAACTTTGAACGGTCACTAAAGGAACTGTCGTAAGAGGAGGACGATCCCTACTACCCAGTCAGCTGAAAAGCAGCATCGTCGTGATCAACTCATTGCCCACCTCTACGGAAAAGCTTTACCTCTAACAACTGATCGCCATATTCAAGCCCGGCCTGATGGGCGATGCTGCCACCGGTTACTTTCGACACGAATATCCCACCATTTTCCCCGCAGACAATGGAGATCCCCAGAGGTTCGGCGTCCTTTTGCACTTTGACGTGACGTGGTTCTTCCATGTAGAGTCTTTGGGAGACAAAAAAAGAGCACAGGAACACCTCTTGAGCGAGTGCAGGAAGACAGGGAAAATAATAATAATAATAATTGCACGGAGGGCATGCACCATGCCCACCGCCCCCTTCCAAAAGTGGAACAGCGGCCACTTTAAAATGTCGACTTAAAACGGCAACATTCTTTTCCGCATGCGAGGGATAAAAGCCGCGGTCAGGTGGTTCTTCCACGGAACAGCTTTGATGCAGTCGGTGCTAACTTAAAGGGCATGGAATGGAAAACTAAATTATAAATTGAATTACGGTGGAAAACTCCGGAAATAAAGCGTATCTTTGCCCATATTATATATATAGGTCAATAAGCATATATAATAGGCAATTTCGGAATGCATTCTAGGAAGAAAAAAAAAAGCCTGACGTCAATTTATAGCCATTTTTGGACCCTTTAGAGCAGTGATCCCCAACCTTTGTGGCTTGGCGGCCCGGCTGGAGGCAGGGAGAGGGGAACTGGGCTGTGCAAGCGGCGGGCCGGCGCGCACGCGCACACACAACTCAACTGCAAGTTGAGTTGATTGTGCGTACGTGCACGTGCCGGCCTGCTGCTCGCGTGAGTTGAGTTGCGTATGACGTGTGTACTGGCTCTCCTCTTGCACGGCCCGGTTCCGAATAGACCGCAGCCTGGTTAGTGGGCTGCAGCCCAGGGATTGGGGACCCCTGCTTTAGAGTGCATTTCTATAGAAATATAGAAATATAGTTCTAGCTCATGGGGGTGAATCACAAGATGAAGGCGGGAAAGTGCAACTCCGCTCGTTTTGTGCTTCTACGCAAGTAAAATGCAAGGTTAGTCGATGGAAATTAAGCAGCTCTAAAGCAAACTCAAGCTGTTAATTCACAATGGCGCCTTGCCTGGTAGCAACGCAATTACCCATGCAGTATTTCCCCCCCCCCTTGGGGAGGGTTTATCCAAACATGTAAATAGCACACAAATAACTGCTCAAGGACAACCTGTATATCAAGCCAACCTCAAACTCCTGAGGGAACAGAACCTTGGCGTAGGAGCCACAGGGATTCTCAGAAAAGACCTATTACGGAACAAATATCTGAAAGGTGAAGAGGGATGAAGAAAGAAAGGAAGGAAAAAAGGAAAAGAGCCTTAGAGAAAGATATAGTAGCCAAAGCTATACTACACATTGACGTATGGAAATTATGCCCTTGATGCCGGTCTGTAGCCGCTGAATTCTGCTCCAACTGGGCCCCACATTTATGTTGCTAAGCGAGACCTTTCTTAAGTGAGTTTTGCCCCGTTTTATGACCTTGATTGACACTGGTGTTAAGTGAAGCACTGCAGTCGTTGCATTAGGAACACACGTTAAGTGAATCCGGGTTCCCCCCATCGACTTTGCTTGTCACAAGGTCGCAAAAGGGGAATCACGTGACCCTGGGACGGTCATAAATAGGAGCCTGTTGCCAAGCGTCTGGATCACGTGACCCTGGGGATGCTGCGACAGTCGTAAGGGTGAAAAATGGTCGTAAGTCACATTTTTCAGTGCCGTTGTAGCTTTGAATGGTCAGTAAATGGACTGTGGTTAAGCCGAGGACTACCTGTATGATAAAACGTGTTAAAGGTAGGCCTCGGTCACCTGAAGTAGAGTCCTGTGGGGTCCTGGGTGCTCTCTGAGCTTGGCTGTTTTCTAGATGAAGTTTCTTTACCCAACTAGGTAATGTCTTCAGGGCTAGGAGGGGGGGGGGAGGAGGAGGAGGAGGAGGACGACGACGACGACGATGACTGTGGAGGAGGAGAAGAACTGTGGGGTCCTTGGTGCTCTCTGAGCTTGCTTGTTTTCTTGCAGACATTTCATGACCCAACTAGGGAACATCATCAGGGCTGGAAGAGAGAGTGGTTTGTGGAGAGGAGGAGGAGGAGGAGGAGGAGGAGGAGGAGGAGGAGGAGGAGGACTGTGGAGGAGGAGAAGAACTGTGGGGTCCTTGGTGCTCTCTGAGTTTGCTTGTTTTCTTGCAGACATTTCATGACCCAACTAGGGAACATCATCAGGGCTAGAAGGGAGCGGAGTTTGCTCTCTCTATGTGGTTTGTACTGTCACTGCTGGTGCGAGCGTTCTTCGTGGCTCCTTCATTAGGCTGTTGGCTAGACTGATCGTGCTGATAAGGCATGATTGATCAGGCTAATTAGGTATGACTGGTCATGCTGGCCATTAGACATGATTGAGTATACTAATGATGCTGACTGGGCTGTTAGTCCAGCCACACCAAGAACAGCCCCACCAAAGCTGACTGGCCAAGCCAGTTGTACATAAACTCAGAGCAACCCCCCTCCCTTCCAGCACTGAGGATTCATCTACTTGGGACATGAAACGTCTGCAAGGAAACAAGCAAGCTCAGAGAGCACCAAGGACCCCCTGCTTCCATCCTGAGCTACAAATATTCCCTTCCATTGGTACAGAGTGCTTTGGACTCTTTCACCGAGCATGAAAAATTCCAGGCAGAGCTACCACCTTCCATGTCTTCCATACATGCCGTAAGAAAAGACCCAAGCATCTCTTAGTTCAGCGGCCCCAGCTTTACAGCTCGGAAACCCGGATAGGTAAGAAGGAGGACAGGTGAGCTGGCCTGCCACTCAGGCAAGTTGAGGTGTGTGTGCATGCACGCCGGTCTGCTTTTCACGCATATGTGAGCCGGCCAGCCGTTTGCACAAACAGGCCACAGCCTGGGAATTGGGGGCTCCTGGTTTAGTTTACTGCTCTACTATTGAAAAGAGTTGTTCTTGCTAACTAACACACAACGGATCCTTAACAATCTGTTGCTAGGAAAGGAGATGCTGTATTCATAGTCATCTACTCATCCCTTGTTTGGTTTCCTGGCCAAAAATGCAGCCAAAGCCACAAAACCACGATACTAAACAGGTCAGCAATACTCTGGCTGTTGATAAACCAGGGCAGACTAAGCACAGGGGGAAAATGTGACACAAATCAAAGAAGGCAAACCATGAAACTATGGAAATGGCATGAAGTAGAGACAAGAAACAAGAAACAGATGGGACAATTATAATTGAGAGTAAACCCAGTACTATAGGACAGAGTTCCCAAAACTTTCTGGCCGAAATAAACTTCCCCAAAGAAGGCAACGGAAGGCCATTCCCACATTGTTGCCCAGAAACTTGCATGGATTTGAGGCCACCAGGAACGGAGCTGGATCAAGCCACGTTCTTTCCCTCGGAGAGTAAAGCATTGGCATAACCACAAGTACAACTTACTTGTCTTTTCGACGTTGCCCCATGGAGACCGGGCTCACTGAAATCCTGGGCAAGGTGGAAAGAGAATTTTGTGACTGGCTACTGGCAAAAGATGAGGTCTCCAAGTTAAGCGGCGACTGGGGTGGGGTTACCAAGCTGGGACTGCTACATTCGGAATGAGACAAGGAACCTGCATAAACGACAGACAAATATCCATGTTGATCTAGTGCAAACGTTCATTTCACGAACACAGCAAGGAGCTCACACATTCCCTACGGGGTTATCTCCAAGCATTTTGGACTGGGTTGCCATCAAAAGCATCTCTATCTCTCAAAAAATCATGCACATGCACACATACACACACATCTGTGGCCCAGGGAAACAACACAGTCTAATAATAATAATAATAATAATAATAATAATAATAATAATAATAATAATAGTAATAGTAATAGTAATAGGAGGAGGAGGAGGAGGAGGAGGAGGAGTTGGAAGGGATCTTGGAGGTCTTCTAGTCCAACCCCCTGCTCGGGCAGGAAACCCTATACCATTTCAGACAAATGTCTGTCCAGTCTCTTCTTAAAAACTTCCAGTGTTGGAGCATCCAGAACTTCTGGAGGCAGATTGTTCCACTGGTTAATTGTTCTCACTGTCAGGAAATGTCTCCTTAGTTCTAGGTTGCTTCTCTCCTTGATTAGTTTCCATCCGTTGCTTCTTGTCCTGCCTTCAGGCGCCTTGGAAAATAGCTTGACTCCCTCTTCTTTGGGGCAGCCCCTGAGATATTGGAAGGCTGCTATCATGTCCCCCCTCGTCCTTCTCTTCGTTAAACTAGACATACCCAATTCCAGCAGCTGTTCCTTATATGTTTTAGCCTCCAGACCTTTAACCATCTTTGTTGCTCTTCTCTGCACCCTTTCTAGAGTCTCTACATCTTTTTTACATCGTGGTGACCAAAACTGGATGCAGGATTCCAAGTGTGGCCTTACCACAGTTCGGATGTATATACATACATGGCAAGAAAAACGTCTGGTGTTAAACTCGCAAGGGCTGTTTTTCTCGCCGTGTATATATGTATACATCCGAACTAGGCTGTATTGTTTCTCTGGGCCACGTTATGTGTGTGTGTGTGGGTATATGCATAATTTATTGTAGTTGTTTGTTTTTTGTCCCGTTTCTGCAGTGTACATTGGAGGTGGTTACCCTCTGAGAGCTGGAAAAGAAGAAAAGCATGGACATTACTTACCTCTGTCAGAACCAATGATGGACCTTGGGTACCGTGGTGTCAAAGGTATCTTTATTCGTTCTGTTCTATACTGTAAATTGCTGGAGGAACCTATTTGGAAGTGGAAAGTAAGAGAGAGAAAAAAGATATAGCGTTAAGGAGGGGAAAAAAAAAAGAAATAAATTCATTTAAATTCCAAGAAATCAGCTAGGCTGGTAACAAGACTCTTTGAAGTACATTTTACTTGGTAAGAATTCTCCTTGGATTTGGACAAACTTGAGTTTATGAAGATAGCTCCACAGATTTAAACATAGAGTTACTGTGCACGATGGGGGAGCATCTTTTTTTAAAAAAATAAATGGATTGAGGAGTAGAGGACAATCTCTCGCCTTCTCTCTGAAGCCCCTATCTTATTGGATAATAATAATAATAATAATAATAATAATAATAATAATAGTAGTAGTAGTAGTAGTAGTAGTAGTAGTAGTAGTAGCACCAATAGTCATAGGCTCCTTGGGTGCAATCCCAAAACAACTGGAGCACCACTTGAACACAATTGGCATTGACAAATTCACTATTAGTCAATTGCAAAAGGCAGCCTTATTAGGAACTGCTTCCATCCTGCGACGATATCTGTAATACCATCAAACATCCACATCTGCCTATCCCAGGTCCTGGGTAAGGACTCGATAGGTAGACAAAATGCCAAATCCAGTCTGAACATCTGGCTGACTGTGCGATGATCGATAATAATAATAATAAAGTTGGAAGGGACCTTGGAGGTCATCTAGTCCAATCCCCTGCTCAGGCAGGAAACTCTAGACCAGTGGTTCTCAACCTTTTTAATGCCGCGACCCCCAACCGGTCGTAAGTCGAGGACTACTCAACTGGTCGTAAGTCGAGGACTACTCAACTGGTGCAGCACCGTTTGCAGAATGGGACTTTTGGCGGGCTCAGCAGGGCAGAGACAGCCTGGACAATTCCTATTGGCTTTTGAAAGCCAATAGAATTAGACTCTATTCAAGAGAGTCTATTCTATTGGCTTTCAAAAGCCAATCGAATAAAAGGGAGGAGCACAGCTAAGGAAAAGGGGGGGAAAAATGGTGGACTGCGTTGTTTGGCGACCCCCGTGAAATGGTCGTTCGACCTCAAATGGGGTCCCGACCCACAGGTGGAGAACCACTGCTGTAGACCATTTTGGACAAATGGCCGTCCAGTCTCTTCTTAAAAACTTCCAGTGTTGGAGCATCCACCATTGGTTCCACTGGTTAATTGTTCTCCCTGTCAGGAAGTTTTTCCTTAGTTCCAGGTTGCTTCTCTCCCTGATTAATTTCCATCCATTGCTTCTTATCCTGCCTTCAGGTCTTTTGGAGAATAGCTTGACCCCCCCCTTCATCAACTTTGAGTGGCCTTTGTTGCACAGTCAAGAATGGACAAAATATGATATTTTTTCCTTACTGATGGACTCAAAGGCTCGTCGGAAGCCTCTTATAGACAACTCTTCTATCACTTTTTGAAAGTTTCTCATCTAGAAATCTCCCTGTTTTGCAATTAAAATAGAACCTTTGTTCCTACATGTTGTGCGTGTAGCAAAGCATAACACCTAGCTAGGTAGGTTTTGTGCTTAGCTACGCACGCAAGAGTTCTGCATGTTAACTGTGCATAAACACACAGGCCAATGAACTGTACGTCAGTACATTGATGCCAGTGTATTTTCACAAAGATATAATGCTAAACAGTCTATAGGTACAATGCTGATCAATCAAAATAAATTGGAGTTTAATGCCAATCAATCAAATCAATACATAACATTTGTGGGTCATATTGAGGTTTGTGAGAGAGGGGTATGGTGGCCCAGTGGTAAAGATGGTTGCCTCCCACTTAGAAAGTTGAGAGTTCAATCCTAGGTAGTGGCAGATATTTCTCTTAGGGTGCAAAGAAAAAAAATATTTACTGTGAACTCTGTGTAGGCTTCAGGAAGGGCATCCGGTCAGTAAACTCTTGGCTCCATCCAGTCACCCTGACTCTACTCTGAATTAAGGGATAATAGGGTGATAAAAATGGATTTTTATTGAGGTTTTTGAAAGGATAGAGGGTGGGAGGGTGGTGGCCTCACTGTCCCCCAAAAGATCTTCTCTAGAACATTTCAGGAGCTCTCCTGTCCAACAATGTCCCTCTGCGAAGGGAAACCCACATCCACGATACACTTGCGACTACAAGAACAAAGCAGACCATTTCTTCTTTCAGACTTCTTACCCAGTCTTGCGCTAGAAGGCAATGAATTTGAACCATGGGACGATCTTGAGCGCGTATTTTCGGAGCACTCACTGGAGTGCTTGTGACTCAGATCCAAGCTCAGATGTCCCTGGTGCTGAGCACTGCAAGACAAAAAAAATTGGATATTCAGTCACATGCACCCAACAGCAACATCAAGTAGCATAAATGGACATAAGATACATCTCTGTCCCATAAATATGATCTGACATATATTTTTAAAAAAGAGTAGAATGGAGGGATTCACCATCTCTGAGTAATCAATTTCTGGCTGAAAAACAAACAAACATAGAGCTGTGCAGAGAGGAAGAACCATAGAACAATGTGTGATGCTCTGGTCTGGGACCAAATCTTAAATTGTGGTATTTTTATTACAATTACAGGCCGGTGTTACAAATACAAAGTATGACTAAAAATAAAACAAAACAAAAAAAGACAATACAATATTTAACAATTGGTGGTAGATTGCCAGAGGACAGTCAAAGTCTGCCTAATTTTGCAGACAGCATAACAAAATTTAGCTATATTCAAATCATCTGACTGGTCCAATACTGATTGTACATAAAAAAAAGATTGGAGTTTCCCAGCGATGTTATCAGCTGAGGTGTTATGAGATGGATCTGTAAGTCCTTGTAGAAGGTACAATAGATTAGGACACGAGTTTTTTTTTTTTTTTTTTGATAACCCCTTGTTCATAAGGGCACAATCTCAGACCAAATTTCAAATCAAATCTATATTTGTAGGTCAGCTGTGGGGGGCAGCTGTGTCAAGGAAAGGACTCGGCTGCTTTAAAGAATTCTTGACCTAAGCTACACCCTCCCTCATGTTCATTGTGGATCCAGATTTCTGCACAGCCCTAATGTGTTGGCTTGATTGTAATGACTCCTCCAGACGCTTTCCCACATGCCTCTCCAGATGTCAGTTCAGAGGAGGATGAACCAGTTCCAGGCACATCTGGAAGGGAGTTGGTCAATGGCTCTGAGCAGCCATCTGAGAGAGATTTGGCTGAAGCACAGCTGCAGCAGGACAGCCCTGAGGCTTCAGGTGGGGAGAGCATGCAGCTGCAGCTGGTCAGTGATAAGGAAGAGGAATTGCCTTCTGCACCTGATCCGAGAGCATACAGGGCAGAGAAAAGGCAGGAGTAGAGGAGGTCAGCCAGATTTTACTCAAGAGGAAAAAGCCTTGCCCTTTTTGATGGGCTGCACCAGAAACTGGCTATTTAGCACTGCAGCCTGATGGAGGCGATGCTGGGAATAATGTGTTTATTTCCTAGCTGTCTGTTTCTTGCTTGTTGTGATTCTTGCCTTGCTTTGGATTGACACTGTGCCTTGACTTGCATCATGTCTTGTGAACTCTGTATTGTGGATTTAATTTTGTCTGGTGGGTTTATCTTGTTTGGGAAACTTTCAAGTGCCTTGTGGACTCACTGGCCATCGCTCTCTGGACTAGCATCGGTCTGCTTTTGGCTGGACTTAATTGGGACAGTTCTGGGGTTTTGGTGAAGGGAATTGTAGGGGAATATTAATAAACCCACTGAGCCACAGTTATGTTTGTGTGCATGGGGGGGGGGCAGAAGAGCACACCTGATGCCTCTTTGAAGGCTTCTCTGAACCTTCTGCCTGACCATAATTGGAAGAAGAATGCTACAACCCAAGTCATTTGACTTTCGTTCAAGATTCTCCTTATCTAAGTACCTGGGATGGAGGTGGCAGTATTGATTGGCTGCAGATGAGCAGTTGGTGGTGGCAATTCTATGGCTCCAGGCTGTGTAAATGGGATTTCTCATCACTGCTGTCACAGCAGAACACGGCGCAATGTTTCTTGGGATGGTACCTATAGAGTAAAGAGAAGTTATATAGAGTAACCTCTGCAGTAGTGTAGCTCAGCCATAATAGACAACTGATTGCTGCAGAAAAAATGCACCAAAGATAAAGGCAGCCTTCAACTTCCGGTGCAATTCAAGGTGTTGCTGATCACCTTGTAAGCCCTTCTGTCAACGCTGCAAATATTGTATATTCTTGCTTTTGACAATATGCAGAATTGTCTGGTAAATATGGGGTTAAATAAAGAGCAGAAGGGGCGTTGGGGGTAAAGCCCGGGAAAGAAAGAGGAAGAAAACATTTGACCTTCACACTAATTGGATAGTGTGAGATATGACGGCTAATTTAGGGAGGGAACAGGCTGATAATTTAACTGCTCAGAGGAAGAGAACTTAGATCCTAGCATCCCTCCGTGGTGCCTGTGCTGACATTTTGTAATAATAAAAGACTTTTAGGAAAATCAATGCCTGGAAGTTCTTTGGAATGTTTCATTAGCCGGAACCACAACACCTTCATGGCATGGGTCCAGGTTGCCTGAGGGACCGTCTCACCCCACTGGGATTGGCCTGTCCCACTGATGCCAGCAGAGGAGGCATGCTGCAGGTCCCGTCAGCCTGATTATTCCGGCTGGTGGGATCCAGGAAGGGGGGGGCTTCTCTACTGTGGCTCCTGCCCTCTGGAACATCTTGCCCCTTTCCCCAATGTGAGGTTGGCCCTAACCCTCCTATCAGGGCCTGGCTCTGCCAGTTGACACGCTGGCTGAGGAATTCTGGGAGTTGAAGTCCACAAGTCATCAAAGGGCAAAGTTTGAAGACCCCTGTCTTAAATCTAACAAACAAAATGGAGGCTGGCTGAGGAATTCTGGGAGTTGAAGTCCACAAGTCATCAAAGGGTCAAGTTTGAGGACCCCTGCCATAGGGGATGCTGCAACGGTCGTAAGGGTGAAAAACAGCCGTAAGACATTTTTTTCCCAGTTCCGTTGTAACTTTGGTTACAAACTGTTGTTAAGTTGAGGAGTATCTGCAGTTGGGCAGAGATCATGCAACAGAAGAAAGTCTGAACTGATCGTGCAACTCATTGGTACGAACCTCCTGATAAGCTTCCGGAGTATAAACAGGCCGACACGAAACCATCGCTGTGACGACTCGCCCGTTTGGGTGAATATGTCGGCCATTCTTGTGCCTCCGGAGACAGGAACTCTTCACTTGCTGGAATGTATTTCTGTACCTGGGCAAGAAAATCCAAAGCATCTTCCTGTGTTATGGGTCATATTTCCAATAGACGCCCAAAGGCACCTAATTTGCGTTTCACAGCAAATTAGGACATCTTTCCAAACAAAATGGCCTCCCAACAGGCTCTTTGATCTACTCTCAGAACAAATATTCCAGGTTAGATATAATACTTAACATACATTTCTACAATTTCTACTCGCACACAACTAGTATGACGTGACACAAAAATGTTATGTATTCCTTTTGTTACAGCTTGATCACACTCCCCCCTTTTAGTGGAATTCTGAGCTGATTTTCCACAGTACATTTCCTGACTTAATTGAAGAAATAGACCAAAAAAAGAGAGAAGTACGTATAATCAGACCTGGGATGAAAATTGTCAAGTGTTCTGCCTCTTAGGAGCCAGCCGTGTGCAGCCGCCGCCAAAAAAGCTAATACAATCCGGGGTTGTGTAAATAGAGGCACAGAATCAAGATCACGTGAAGTACTAGTACTGCTTTATAAAGCCCTAGTAAGGCCACACCTGGAATACTGCAGCCAATATTGGTCACCATATCACAAAAAAAGATGTTGAGAGTTTGGAAAAAATTCAGATTAGAGCAACTAAGATGATCAAAGGCCTGGAGACTAAAACATACACTCTCTGTGGCCAACTTGCCATGGCCAACTTACACGTGGGACAACTCACGTGGCCAACTCTCTGTGGCCAACTTGTCTTGGCCAACTTACACGTGGGACAACTCACCTGTGGCCAACTTGCTGTGGGACAATTCAACAATTCAATTTAATTCTTTAAAATAATTAAAAAAATATATTTTAAATTTTGTCTTTCACACTTCCTTTGGCTTCTTTTATTTAACGATTCTATTCCACCAGGTCTTCGATATTGCTGCAACTCTTGTCCTGCGGCGAGTTGCCCCACAGCATCTCGGCTGCAGCAAGTTGGCCACAGGGAGTTGGCCGTTGTCAATTTAACCGCAGTGAGTTGGCCATGACACGTTGTCCTAGACCCTGTTCAAGAAGCATCCTGGCACACCTTGAACAACAAGTCAACCTTTCTGCAATGCGACCCCCCTTTGATGTCGGAAAGATCATTTAAGCCCTGAATTCACTGGGGAAAGGAGTAGCCAGCATCCTTTTTTCCAAGATCCCATATCTACCTGCTGAGATGGATTAGGGATGGGCACGGGGTTTAGTTTATGCCTGAAGGCGGGAGCAGATTTGGGCCTTGGTCTTTTAATTTCAGGCTCTTCTGCTCTTTGAAAGCCAAGGTCCTCTTCACAGGGTTTTCTTGAAGGCAAGTGTCCAGGGTCTCCCGCCTCCTCCCTGTAGTATTGTCCTGAGGGTCTACCTCGCCCCTTGAGAACACAGGAGTCTGGCTTCTGTTCAATGGAAAGTGGGGGCTGGACTGTCGCTGGACTAGGAGGGGGGGATCCCGTGGTCACGGTAGACTCCGAGGTAGAGCTGGCCTGCTGTTTGTGTTTAAATTTAATAGAATCGCTTCTAGTTGGAGGTGTTGGCGGAGTGGAGACGGCTTCTGCTTTGGAAGGCTGGGCTGACGGTCCCAACATCGGATTGGGAGACAGATAATCCATCTTGGGAGGCGTCAAGGGTCTTTTGAAAGTGTCCGGGTCAAAGATGGATTTCCTTTGTTTGGGCTTTTTGTACACGGAGAATTTTTCCGTTTCTGCCGGACCTAAGTTGACCAGCACTTTGGGCCAGGTGCCACCGCTGTGTTTCCCGCCCGGTCCTTTGTCTAAGGCGCTCTCAAGCACAAGGCAATCTGCGACTGTGGGTTCAAAGGAGAGCCTCTGGTTGTCCAGGTTCACTATCCCGTAACTTGGGTCTCCGTACCCATCGGGACCGAAGGATCCGAGGCTGTGTTCCGAATTACTGTGGCACTCGTGGACTGTGTTCCTGTGGGAGTCGGTATGTAAAACGCTACTGGAAAACGGTTTCAGACTGCAGTACAAGCTGTTCTCTTGATCGCTCTGATCCTTCTTGACATCCATTATGTCCGGGCTGAAAATATCGGTTTGGGTTGAACTGTTGTGTTTTAAGTTCCTTTTATTTTGAACCTGTACGTCTGACGGGTGAGTCCTGCCATTGGAGATCTTCTCCGAATCCTTAAGGTTTTCAAATATGTTTTGGCCACTCCAAGAGGAACACGAGCTCTGAGGATAAACCTGGAAGGAGGAGAAACAACATCAGCTGGTTGCAGAATTTACAGATGCAGCTGTGCAATAGAGCAGTCCCAAACCTATATATGAATCTACCAATGTTTAGTGCTAGGCTGCTCTGAAATACATTAATATTTTGTACCCTTATACTGTTACAAGAAAAGCTGAATTCTAAAAATCATGTAAAATACGTTGATTTTTTTGGGAATTTATTTTGTAATTTATATTGTTTTTTTTAATTAATTATGGGACAGGGGGGTACTCTAACATAGTTTCCTCCCCTAAAACCTTCTAGAAGTGTTGGTCTAAAAAATTTAAAATCCCATAGAATGCATACATTTAAAACAAACACAGAGAAGTGGAATTCACTACCTTAAGATCTATGAATTTTGGAAAAATGAAAATCTACCATTTCGAAAATTTTGGACTGTGCAGAAATGGATAGATTAACTTTGGAGATGAAGGAGAAAAAAGATTCAATTTATTTTAAAACTTGGGAAAATTTTTATCGATGGTTAGAAATATGTCAAAATATGATCAGAATTTAAAATTGAATTGAATTTTAAAATTGAATAGAATAAATGATAGACTCTTAACTAAGTGTTATTTCTTAGATTAATAATAGTTTTTTTTATTAGTGATTTTAAATACTAATGGTGATGACTAGAATTAGTTAATATGTTATTAAGTATGAATATTGATTTAGAGGAATTTTAATTACAGTACTTATCTAATTTTAGTTTTATGATTATAGTTAACTTTATCTTTATAATTATTTAGTATTATACAAATTATGTTTATTTAATATTTAGATCCAGATGGTAGCTTATTTGTTAAGGCTTGGGAATATTATGGGGGGTTACCCCATTATTGTACCTATCCTTATCCTACCCCAAATTCCTATTTCCATTCCCCTTATGCCCGTATTGACCCTATCTTTTCCTTACCTATATAAAACCTAATAAAATATTTATATATATATATAAAAAGATTTATGAATGGCCAAAATATTGATCGCTAGTTTAGAGGATTGGATAAATTCAGGAGGACAGGCCTAATGAAAGCAATCGGTAACTTAAGTCTCCTTCGTCATCTTCCGGTTGGAAATGACATGCTCCCACTTGCTGAAGTGAAGGGAGCATCCTGCAAAAAACAGATACAAGGAGAAAGACATGACAATTAAGTAAGTTGCAGGATCCAATCTGGGTTGGTTTTGTCTGCCAAGCTTTTGGACTCCAATATTCAATTTTGCAGCTACTCAGATTGTTGGACGAGCAGGTAAAAAAACAACCAGGGAAGTGACTGAAGCCTGGGAAACGGGCCCCTGATCAGTCAACAAGAATGCTGATTTACCCCCTGCCTATCAAGTACTTAGAAGATGAGGGCCAGGCAGCATCCCGGTTCACATGTGCACATGCGTGTGTAAAAGTGCCTGCCCCTCCCTTTCTCACCAGGCCAGCAAACCAGAAAGGTTGGGGAACTCTGCTTTAATGGGCTGCCCAACCAGAGGGCTGATTTCTCCACTCGAAAAGATGCTACAACGTGACGTATGAGTCAATTTTGCTTAATCTTCTGGTATGTCATGATCTTCTTCACAGGAAGAAAGGGGGATGATGCATAGTGAAATATCAGAAGAAGAAGAAGACAACTGCAGAGGCGGTTGATACAATCCTCTCCTATGAAATAAATATTATTCACTGACAAAGACTACACACTCTTTATTCCTGCTCACCTTCATCAATGAAAGTGTAAGAGACTCCCGGCAATTTCGCAGCAAAGCTTCGCATTCCGTCAGTGATTTATTATCTAGTGCAATTCCATTTATCTGCAGGAAAATGGAGACGTGTCAAGCATGCAACAGTCAGGACTCTGGCTTTCCCCATTGTCTGAAGGTGGCCAAAGGGATACTGCAACTGTCATAAGTATGTGCCAGTTGATTTACAACAAGCATTTAGCGATCATTAGAAATTACAACTGACCCGAAAAATAGGACTTACCACCTGGATCAGAAATTTTGATGGGTTAGGCCCCTTCTATGGCCCTGTGGCAATCTGGCCACATTTACAGCTGTTTGTTTTATGATAGTTGCTTACCAACCACTTATAGTTAGCATGTAACTTGAGAAGAAATATCTCTGCTTCCAGCTTCCCGTCTCATCTGATTTGAATTTCTATTGTAAATCTACTCTATGAACTAAAAGCAGACTGGAAAATAAATTTACCGCAATGATCCTGTCTCCCACAGTGAGGGACCCATCCTTGGCCGCTGGACTGCCCGTCGTTATGGTGGCCACAAAGACGCCATTTTCTAAACCAATTCCGCTATCTGAAATGGAGAAGACCAAAGCCAAGGTGAATTTTTAGCACTCAATTTTGTTCTGAGTTCTCGGCATCCGGCAGCAGCGAGGTGACTTTGGAAACTAAAGCAAAGCCTGGTTTGGTCAGGATTTTGGATGGAAAAACTCCCAGGAATGTCAGGGATCAGGCTAAATTGGGAAGTTTTTTTTTTTTAAGTCATCCAGAATGATGACCTACTACTGCCAAGAAAAACATCGTATATGGTGACGTCCATGAAAGAACTGAGATTGACTTACAGGAGACTTCTAATTTAGGAAAGTCGGTATCTTAACAGCTACTGGACATAGCGATGCAACCAGGGCCATTGCAAAAAAAAAAATGAAATTGGACGTTTTAGAATCATTAATACGAAACAGAAAACATCTTCCATAACAGGCCTTCCAGTCTTAGAGGAACACAGACAAGGGAAGCCAATCAATGTGCTTATTCCCTTGGATAGCAAATCCAGGAACGCAGACGAGGGAATCTACTTAGTCACTTGGTGAGCGAATCCATGAAGAATGCAGTGGAAATACTGGCTGGATCCCCGCATATTTGCCCGCCTGACTCTGAGGCGCCACGGGGAACTCACCTTTGTGGCCCGAAAGGCTGATGTGTAGCGGGGTCACAATCTTCCCTCCCAAGGACTTCCTTCGCCGGACCACCATATTGATAACTCCTCCGCCATTAAGGACCGCTTTTATGACTTGTTTTTTGTCCTTGTTGGTAAGATCCACGTCGTTTATCTTCAGGAGCCAATCGTTCACCCTGATTAATTAGAAATGAATTAGACTTTTTAATTAATTAATTAATTTTCTAGCAGGACTACCCGATTCTGTTAATAGCACAGAGCTGAAGAAGCTTTTTGGATGAGAAGGGAAAGGTCTTCAAAGAAAAACAAGGAAGTCCAGTGGCTTCCTGAAAAAGGACCTTTGGGTCAACCAGGACCTGGATGATGGAGAATCTCCATAGACCAGGGGTAGGCAACCTTGGCTCTTTTATGACTTGTGGACTTCAACTCCCAGAAGTTAAAGTCCATGAGTCATAAAAGAGCCAAGGTTGCCTACCCCTGCCATAGACATTTAGCTATTCAGTTCAATTCAACTCCAGTGTCTGGACAAGCCACCCACAGGATACCTTAATCGGCCGTCTGCAATGCTTCCTTTGTCGACTTTGGTAACAAATATCCCGCAGTCTCCAGGAAGATAAGGTTCGTTCACTCCTTCGGCCACATCGAAACCAAGAGCCTTCAAATCCATGTCTTCCTAAAAGATATGAACGCGACACACATTCGCCTGTAGTAATTTCTTACAAAGGACACGGCGAGCACATGCGAGGTAATTGCTTCACCTCCTATCTCTGTTTGCTGGGAACTTTCAAGCCGTGGAGCTCTTACTCCCGACTTAGGAGCATGGTCTTCCACTTACTCTGTCTTTCTCGAACTCGACTACTTCCGTTTCCCACTCCATGGAATCTGTGTCGATGGCGGAATCGTGGGAACTGTGAGCCATCAGCTGCCGAAACCGTGCCTCTTTCTCCAACTGATTCTCCATCTTCTCTCTGGGGAAAATCGAACATCACAATCGGGACGAAGAGACCGTTTTTTCTCTCTCACCCTTATATGCGCAATTTCAAGGCTTGGGTTCTGATTTCAGGTAAACCAGATCGCTGCTTAATAGGCAGGGGATCCAAACATACTACTCTGAATGAAATCTGCTAAGTGGGCAAAGAATGAATCTCTCCTAACCCATTCAGACTAGAGCATCCTGGTTTATTTGTCTTCTGATTCAAAGTTAGTCCGATAGACAAATCTATTTCTTTCTTTCTTTCTTTCTTTCTTTCTTTCTTTCTTTCTTTCTTTCTTTCTTTCTTTCTTTCTTTCTTTCTTTCTCTTTCCTTCCTTCTTTCTTTCCTTCTCCATCTTCCTTCCTTCCTTCTCCATCTTTCTTCCTCCCTCCCTCCTTTCCTCCCTCCTACCCTCCCTTCCTTCCTTCCTTCCTTCCTTCCTTCCTTCCTTCCTTTCCATCCTCGCCTGCCTGCCTTCCCTCCCTCCTTCCTTTCCCTCCCACTCTTGTCTTTCTTCCTTTCTTCCTTCCCTCCCTCCCTCTCCTTCCTTCCTTCCTTCCTTCCTTCCTTCCTTCCTTCCTTCCTTCCTTCCTTGGTGGCACAGTGCTTAGAGTGCAGTATTGCAGACTAACACCAGCCACAGCCAGTAGTTTGATCCTAACTGGCACAACATTGACTCAGCCTTCCATCCTTCTTTCCGAAGTCAGTAAAATGAGGACCCAGATGGTCGAGGGCAAGAGGCTGACTCTGTAAGCTGCTTAGTCAGGGCTGTAAAAGAACGGCGAAGCGGTATATAAGTCTAAGCGCTTTTCCTGTTGCTATTTGTACCCTAGCTGGCCAACTACTGACAAGCAAAGACAATGGAGAAGCCAGGTTCACTTAACCATCGTGTGACCTCCTTAACCACTGCAGCGATACACTGAACAACTGTGGCAAGGAACCTTGTAAAACAGGGCACAACTCCCATTCAACAACTGTCTCCTTTAGCACGAGAAATGTTGGGCTAATTGTGCTCGTAACTCAAGGACGACCTGTGCTTTCATGCCATAAATATCCCGTCCTCCCAGGGCTTCTGCCTGGAAAGAAAGCCCTGACACAGAGGATGCAAAGAGTTTTGTATCACCTACTTCAGTTCCTTCAATTCACGTCCGGCATCGTTCTTTTGCTTTCTCATGTCATCCAGGTTGCGAAGGGCCTCCGCCAAGTCGCTCACGGCACGGTCCCTTTCCCGTCTCAGGTTATCGCACAAAGTTCTTCAAAGAAATGGAAACACAAGGTTAGAGGGCTGCTGTGGTGTCACAACAAGAGTCCCCACACAGCCTCCGTGCCCCCTTCTCTAGGACAGAACACAGGCAGTCCAACCAGCGCAACTAGATCAATCAATGAAATAACCTTTAGAAGGACCGATGGTTCTACGTGGAGAACCTTTTTCTCAGCTAAGCTAAACAGGATTAGTAGACCCGATGGAAGTTTTCAGATGGGAAATCTCTGCCTACTCTTTCACTCTATTACGTGCAATATATATTGGGAGCAGGGAGTACATAATTTAGTGACCATTCAAAGTTGTAACAGCACTGGAAAAAAAGGGACTTACGACCGCTTTTCGCACTTACGACCTCCCCAGCATCCCCAGTGATCATTTGATCAAGCTCAACTGCGTTTTTTTCCCTAAAGGTACAGATTCCTTTAATCGATTAATCTTTAGTATGGTTGCAGACCTGCAAATGGCACCTTTGATCCTATTCAAAAAGCAGAAAGACTTTAATCCATGAGTTGAAAAAAGATCAAGTCTTCTGTGGCCATCTTGTCATGGCCCACTCTCTGTGGCCGAAACTGGACGTTTTTAAGACGAGACTGGACAACCGTTTGTCTGACGTGGTATAGAGTTTCCTGACTGAGCAGGGGGTTGGACTAAAAGACCTCCAAGGTCCCTTCCAACTTTATTATTATTAGTGCTGTTGTTGTTGTTGTAAATAGGGGACTACGTGTACAGTCCTGGATAGTGCAATTTCCTAGAAAGGATGGTTTTACCGTATGCTCTCTCGTTCGGCAACGATCTTGTCCCGCTCCTGGAAAGCCCAATCCCGTCTACATTTGGCAACTTCTGCTTCTTGCGTCGCTTCTCTTAACTCCTGTGACATGGCCTCGTACTGCTTCCGAAGGATTTCTATTTCTTTGTTTGCCCTTTCTACATCCAGCGTGGCTGAATCTTGTATCTGCGAAAAAGCAGATCACGGAATCAGAAGCAACGCCGGATGATAGGAAAGCGGGCGCTCAGAGTTGTGGCCGGGAGAACCCAAGCCAGATTTAAAAAAAGAAAAGAAAAAGAAATTAAAACATTCTGACAACATGGTTTGAAAATATTGGAAGCTCTGGATTTATTTCAATAGAACCCCAATCATCTATCATCCGTTCTGTGGTTGCTTCCGTAGAGTTTGCTTTGATTGCTAATGCATTTTACATCAGGTTTTTTTTTTAAAAAAAAAAAGAAAAGAAAAGAAAAAGAAATTAAAACATTCTGACAACATGGTTTGAAAATATTAGAAGCTCTGGATTTATTTCAATAGAACCCCAATCATCTATCATCCGTTCTGTGGTTGCTTCCGTAGACTTTGCTTTGATTGCTAATGCATTTTACATCAGGTTTTTTAAAAAACAAAAAACAAAAACAAAAAATAATTTGCGCTCAGCATAGGTACAATTTGCAATTTTTATTATTATTATTATTATTATTATTATGGGCAAGGATTTTATTTCCCCCACCTTCTGAATTAGTGAGCCTGTATTCTGCAATCAGATTAAATCTCGGTTGTTAATGGGATCCTCTGAAGAACTCACTCTTATTCTTATGCAATTGTTTATGTAATTTATGTACAACGATTAAGTGAAGTTGCTTTTTTTTAAAAAAAAGGAAAAGAAAAAAAAGAAAAAGAAAAAGCAGAGAAATTGAAAAATTACCAAGCAAGTTCAACAAATTTGGCCATTATAAGAAATAAAACAAAAAAACAGAAAAATGCCTCTTTCTCTCCACACTGTGTCCTACTGTTTGCTTTTGTGTTTGGGTATTTTATTCTGTAATCTAATAAAATGCCTTTTCTTTTTTTTTTTCTTTTCTCTTTCTCTCCCCACTTTGTCCTACTATTTGCTTTTCTGTTTGGTATTTTATTCTAGATGAATCAGAAGTTGGAATTAAAATTGCCGGGAGAAATATCAACAACCTAAGATATGCAGATGATACCACTCTAATGGCAGAAAGTGAAGAGGAACTAAAGAGCCTCTTGATGCGGGTGAAGAAGGAGAGTGCAAACGTTGGCTTGAAACTCAACATCAAGAAAACCAAAATCATGGCATCCGGCCCTCTCAATTCCTGGCAAATAGATGGGGAAGAAATGGAGGTAGTGACAGATTTTATTTTTCTGGGCTCCAAGATCACCTCAGATGGGGACTGCAGCCAAGAAATTAAAAGACGCTTGCTCCTGGGGAGGAAAGCTATGGCAAATCTAGACAGCATCTAAAAAGCAGAGACATCACCCTGCCAACCAAAGTGCGTATAGTCCAGGCCATGGTTTTCCCAGTTGCAATGTATGGCTGTGAAAGTTGGACCATAAGAAAGGCTGAGCGCAAAAGAATTGGGGCCTTTGAACTATGGTGCTGGAGAAGACTCCTGCGAGTCCCCTGGACTGCAAGGCGTTCAAACCGGTCAAGTCCTAGAAGAGATCAACCCCGACTGCTCTTTAGAAGGCCAGATCCTGAAGTTGAAACTCAAGTACTTTGGCCACCTAATGAGAAGGAAGGATTCACTGGAGAAGAGCCTAATGCTGGGAAAGATTGAGGGCAATAGAAGAAGGGGACGACAGAGAATGAGATGGCTGGATGGAGTCACTGAAGCAGTAGGCGTGAATTTAAATGGACTCCAGAAGATGGCAGAGGACAGGAAGACCTGGAGGAACGTTGTCCATGGGGTCGCGATGGGTCGGACACGACTTCGCAATTAACAACAACAACATTTTATTCTGTAATCTAATAAAATGCCTTTTCTTTTCTTTTCTTTTCTTTTTTCTTTCTCTCCCCACTTTGTCCTACTATTTGCTTTTCTGTTTGGGTATTTTATTCTGTAATAAAATGCCTTTTCTTTTCTTTTCTCTTTCTCTCCCCACTTTGTCCTACTATTTGCTTTTGTGTTTGGGTATTTTATTCTGTAATCTAATAAAATGTTATAAAATTTAAAAAAAAAAGAAAAGAAAAAAGGACTTCCAAGAAAACAGCATCCTACTCCGCAATCGTTAAAAAGAGTCACAGTATTACCTGGCGCGCCTGGTAGTATTCTCGTAGTAGGTGGTCCCTCTGGATAATGGCTTCCGTCCTCTCCTTCCTGGCTACGTCCCGCTCTTCTTTCACGGTCTCAATATCCTTACATGCCTGGTCCAGCTCCTTCTGGGCCTCAGCCTTATCCTTCACTTCATGGCAATATTTTTCCAGAAGCTCATTCCTTTCGCAGATGGCTCGGTCCCGCTCCACCAGAGCAGAATTCAGCTCCTGAAAGAGAAGCAACCCCTGGTAGGTCCGTCAACTGCTGGAAGAAGCTTCTCATGCAATGAGCAGACATTGGACCTGTTCAAAGCTCCTGGTGTTGACCAAAAAGAAAACTCTAACTGCCGGGCATGTATGAGAAGTCGTTAACTAATAACTTAAATTTAAGTCATTTTCTGCGCACAACTTGTATGGAACCCAGGGGTGCTTTTTTTTTTCAGGAGGCAACTGGACTTTCTCGTCTTTCTTTCGAAGACATTTCCCTTCTCACCCAAGAAGCTTCTTCAGCTCTGACTGGATGGTGGGGAGTGGAAGGATTTATATTGCTTGCTGAAGAAGCTTCTAGAAAGGAAGGAAGGAAGGAAGGAAGGAAGGAAGGAAGGAAGGAAGGAAGGAAGGAAGGAAAGGAAGGAAAGAAAGAAAGAAAGAAAGAAAGAAAGAAAGAAAGAAAGAAAGAAAGAAAGAAAGAAAGAAAGAAAGAAAGAAAGAAAGAAAGAAAAAAAAATTGTTGGTAATAATGAAGGAATGACCCTGAGGACACAGGCAAACCTCCAAGTGGCCTCAACAACTCTCTAAAAGAAGGCAAATGACCAGCTGTCTGCAAGGGGTATAAATCCTTCCATTTCCCTTCCATCCAGTCAGAGCGGAAGAAGCTTCTTGGATGAGAAGCGAAACGTCTTCAAAGAAAAACGCGAAACGTCTTCAAAGAAAAACAAGAAAGCCCAGTGGCCTCCTGAAAAAGCAGCTTTGGGACAACCCTGATGGAGAATCTCCACAGATATTCCATACCTGTCTTAAAGCTTCCATTTCCTCACTGGCCACTTTCTTCTCCGAGGACGTGTTTTTCAGTTTGGATTCTGCCACCTCCAGCTCCGTCTGAAGCTTGTCTACTTCTTTGATCACCTGATCCCTCTCGCTCATGATGAGGCGATACTCGCTGAAGACCGAGTCCCGTTCCTCCTTGTATTTCTCCGCATCCTTGGCAGCCTTGAGCTGCACCGTTTTGTACCTTGTGGCTTCCGACTGCAGCCTTTCCATCTCCCTCTGCAGCTCCTTGTTCTGGGCTGTGGCTTTGCTCAGCTCCTGTTGTATGGTCTCAAATCTAGAAGCAAATAGCGAGGGGTGACCGTTTGCAGGAAAGGAAAGGGGGGTTTTGAAATCCCTTTTCCAATTAGAGCCGGAACACAAACTGTTTTAAAACAGTCCGAGTGGAAGCAACGTGGCCCACACGATTAGTAAGCAGAGTTAAACTTTAACCCCAATAAAAGGTGAGCGGATGTAAAGAGTCGGACTGTGTCTTAGTTTATCTTTCAATGTGCCTTTCCTTTTTCAAATCTACTTCACTTCCACCTCTTCGGAGGCAGACTGGGAAAGGAGTAGAGACACCGTGGAAGTAAGGACAGTCCACCTTTGTGGACTTTTCACCTCAAAACCTGTCTCCATATACACACAGACTCACATTTCAAATGTCAACTCACAAACAGGCAGAAAACCAACGGGGTTGTCCCAAAGGTGTTTTTTCAGGAGGCAACTAGACTTCTTTGTTTTTTTTTTCTTTGAAGATATTTCGCTTCTCATCCAAGAAGCTTCTTCAGCTCTGACTGGATGGTGGGGAATGGAAGGATTTACATTCCTTGAAGACAGCTGGTCATCTGCCATCTTTTAGAATTCATTGCATTCCTCCAGGTGGCCTCAATGCCTCTCTAAAAGAAGGCAAATGACCAGCTGTCTGCAAGGAGTATAAATCCTTCCATTCCCCACCATCCAGTCAGAGCTTGAAGAAGCTTCTTGGAGGAGAAGAGAAACGTCTTTAAAGAAAAACAAGAAAGACCAATTGCCTCCTAAAAAAGCATCTTCGGGACAACCAGGACTTGGATGATGGAGAACCTCCCTAGATACCAATGAGGCTGGTTCCGTTACGTCTACTTTGGTCCTGAGAGACTGTAAGCACCACCAAGGAAGTTGAAAGAGAGAATCGAGTTAAGATGCTTCTACTGAAGGAGCTCTGATTTAGAAGACCCCGTTGGGGAAGCGGATATTTACCTTCTCAGAGAAGTAGAACATTGCTGCTGGAAGTGGATGGCTGTGTCCCGCTGCTTCATCAACATGTCCATCTGTTTCTGGAGACATTTGTTTTCTTCTTCGATCTGCTCTAACCGGCTCAGATCACTATTGTGACTGGCTATTTTTTCATTGTACCGCTTTCTTAGTGCATCGTAGTCCTTCTTCACAACTTCTAGCTTATCCATGGCTGTATCGTAGAGTTTATTCAAGATCTCCGATGACCCATTCTGCTTCATAACCTACACGAAGGGGAAAAAGACTTTGAACAAAGCTTTGTAGCAAAAGTGAGACACATCTCAGTCTTATTTTAAGCCCAGGAAAGCCCAGTGAGTTTTTGTAGCCACACTTGGGATACTGCATCCATTATATGTTACTTATATGTAAGGGTGTAGGTCTATACATATGTAGTATATAGTATGTTTAAATGTGTGTTATGTATGTGTATACTTTGAGAGCAAGCAACTTTCATTTTTAATGTGTGCCATTGTGCTCACAATAAAAAATGACAATAAAGGTTATCTATCTATCTATCCATCCATCCATCCATCCATCCATTTTTAGTCACTATGGTGTAAAAAAGATGTTGAGACTCTAGAAAGAGTGCAGAGAAGAGCAACAAAGATGATCAGGGGACTGGAGGCTGAAACACATGAAGAACGGTTGCTGGAATTGGGTATGTTTAGTTTAATGAAGAAAAGGACTAGGGGGGTGACATGATAGCTGTGTTCCAATATCTCAGGGGTTGCTCCAAAGAAGAGGGAGTCAAGCTATTCTCCAAAGCACCTGAAGGCAGGACAAAAAGCAACGGATGGAAACTAAGCAAGGAGAGAAGCAACCTGGAACTAAGGAGAAACTTCCTGACGGTTAGAACAAGTGAACAGTGGGACAACTTACCTCCAGAGGTTGTGAATGCTTCAACACTGGAGGCTTTTAAGAACAGATTGGACAAGTCTTTGTCTTAAATGGTATAGGGTTCCCTGCCTGAGCAGGGGGTTGGACTAGAAGACCTCCAAGGTCCCTTCCCATTCTCTTCTCTTCTCCTCTCCTCTCCCTTCCCTTCCCTTCCTTTCTATTCTATTCTCTATTCTATTCTCTATTCCATTCCAACAATCATGAATACCTTGTCTCAATGCAATTTAAAGGTAGATTCAATCATTCTCTGCACAGTGAAAAGTTGAGCATTCTCTTTGTTTCTTAAGGCATTGTTTCAAAAACCTCATTTCCATATGAACAGACGCCTTACGCATTAACGTAAAAAAAATGCTAAAGTGCTGTAACATTCAAAACAAAAAAAAAAGGCAGGTGGAAAAGAAAATTTGGAGTCTGAAGAAGGAGGATAGAAAACACATGGCTATGCTTGAACTCTGACATTTTAGAAGATTCTAGAGAACCAAGGACAGCCAAGAAAACAAGGCAAAACACCAAATGATTTGCAACACTGGTCAACATCTAGACCCCCTTAGAAGTCACACTGTGTTTGTGCTTGCCTTACTGTGTGATACGTTGTGCATATGGAAAGTATTTCTGCTTGAATTTGTTTAAAGAGCAGGTCATTTTGAGCCTGAATGGATCAAAAATGAAGTTGGGCAGGGCTGGGAAAAATATTCCTGAAGTTTCAGGCCAGTTTTTTTTTTAACTGAATTTATTTTTCCTTGCCTTGCTTTGTTTTCCAGATGTGGTATATATTTCCTGCCCTGCTCAAGCTCCCTTCTCTTTGAAGTGGCTTTAGAAGCAAATGGTTAACCAGGACAAACAGCCTGCTTGCTTGCTTGCTTGCTTGCTATGTACATTTATTTATGTCACTCCTGTGTTTCCTCCTCACACGCTTAAGACAGCTCTCCATTCTAAAAAGGGGCCACCAAATTCTGCAACAGCTGCAGCTTCTAAAAGGGTCAGACTACAAGGAAATAGCCATTTATTGCTTCCCATACCTTCCTGTTTGAAAATTGCTGAGCTTGTAAGAATAGCAATTTTGGGAGGATAATAGGAGGAACCTCCCAAGTTATATACAGACATTTCCCCCCCCCCCATAAAGAGCAGGTTTTGCTTTGGCGTGTTCCCTCTTTCCTCAAACCGAGTTGCAGATTATCCATTCTCTGGGGGCCTGACATATATAACGTATCAAGAGACTTTTCAGTACAAAATCATCACAATTTAGGAAGTCTTTTTCATTCACAACTATGAACAACAATCCAATATTTGAGGGGCTGCCCCAAAGAAGAGGGAGTCAAGCTGTTCTCCAAAGCGCCTGAAGGCAGGAGAAGAAGCAACGGATGGAAACTCATTGAGGAGAGAAGCAACCTAGAACTAAGGAGAAACTTCCTCACGGTGAGAACAATTAACCAGTGGAACAACCTGCCTCCAGAAGTTGTGAATGCTCCAACACTGGAAGTTTTTAAGAAGAGACTGGACAGCCATTTGTCTGAAATGGTCTAGGGCAGGGATAGGCAACCTTGGCTCCTTTATGACTCATGGACTTCAACTCCCAGAATTCCTGAGTCAGCTATGCTGAGGGGAAAGGGAGAGGTTTCCAAGCTGAGCCATGCCGGCTGAGGAATTCTGGGAGTTGAAGTCCACGAATTATAAAAGAGCCAAGGTTGCCTACCCTTGGTCTAGGGTCTTCTGTTTGAGCAGGGGGTTGCACTAGATGACCTCCAAGGTCCCTTCCAACTCTGTTATTCCATTATAATTAATGTAGCAAAAAAGAGCTCATCAGTTTGAATTACTGTTCAATCTAGATAGGGCAGGGATTTTCAAACTTGGCCCTTTTATGACCAAAAAGTTTATAAATGGAAACACATAAATTGCTCAGATTGGGAAAAATGTAACTAGAGTGCCTAAATTCTGCAAAAATCACAGCCGAAAAGCCATCAGGAATGATGGAATGCAAGCAAAACGCTAATTCAATGAAAAGTGCTGCTAAGGCATTAATGTCATATTTTAACTGTGAACAAAAAGTAATCCCCCTTTCCTATGGAAATCACTGGTCATCCTTGACTCACCACCGAAGGGGCGAATTGCGATTCCCCATTGGCTTTGCTTGCCAGAAGATCACAAAAGGGGATCATGTGATCTCCCCCCCCCCGGGGACACAGCGACCGTCATAAATAAGAGACAGTTGCCAGACATCTGATTTTTGATCACGTGACCGTGGGGATGCTGCAACGGTCGTAATGTGGAAAAATGTCCCTAAGTCAGTTTTTTTCCAGTGCTGTTGTTAACTTCAAACAGTCACTAAATGAAAAATCCTAATTAAAAAAAATATCAGGGGAAGGAATACCTGCTGCTGTTGGCTGCGTAAGTTTGTTATTTCCTTCTGGTCCTCCTCGTGAAGCCTCTTCATTTCCTCACACAACTGCTGGAGGTGATTGTGCTCCCGCACAAACTGGCTGTTCTTCCTCTTCAAGGTGTCCACGTCTTCCTTCAGCTGGGACTGGTCGCCTAGCAGGCGGCTGTGTAACGTACTGGGGCAGGAGAGAAAGGCAACACAAGTAAGGCCGGAGGAAAAACGCTCCCTGGCCTTTCGCTCCTTGGAAATGAAACAAAAAAAACCAAAAGTGACTTTTAAAGGAGAGAGTGAAGGAGCGATTCCCACGGCTGGCCTTCTCCCTCTGCTGAAATACAGGGAAAAGGCTTTAAGGGCCATCAAGTATTTGGACATGAAAAAGAGCAAAAATTTCAAATCAAGATTAACTTTTTTTTACTGTTCATGGACAGGCCAATGCAATTTTGAGAAGAGGAGGAGAAGGAGAAGGAAGAGGAGGAAGAGGAGGAGGAAGAAGAAAAAAGGAGGAGGGGGAGGAGAGGAGAAGAAGGAATAAGGGAGGAGGAGGAAGAAGAGGAGGAGGAGGGGAAGGGGGGAAGAAGAAGAAGAAGAGAGAAGAAGAAGAAGAAGAAGAAGAAGAAGAAGAAGAAGAAGAAGAGAAGAAGAAAAGAAGAAGAAGAGAAGAGAGAGGCGGAGGAGGAGAAGAGAGGAGGAAGGGGGAGAAGGGGAAGGAGGAGGAGGAGGAGGAGGAGGAGGAAGGAGAGGAGAAAGGGAAGGGGAAGGGGGAAGAAGAAGAAGAAGAAGAAGAAGAAGAGAAGAGAGAAGAAGAAGAAGAAGAAGAAGGAGGGAGGGAGGAAGGGGGAGAAGGAGGAAGGGGGAGAAGGAGGAAGGGGAAGGAGGAGGAGGAGGAGAGGAAAGAAGGAGAAAGAAGGGGAAGGAAGAAGAAGAAGAAGAAGAAGAAGAAGAAGAAGAAGAAGAAGAAGAAGAAGAAGAAGAAGAAGAGAAGAAGAAGAAGAAGAAGAAGAAGAAAAGAAGAAGAGAAGAAAAGAAGAAGAAGAAGAGAAGAAAAGAAGAAGAAGAAGAAGAGAAGAAAAGAAGAAGAAGAGAAGAAGAAGAAGAAGAAGAAGAAGAAGAAGAAGAAGAAGAAGAAGAAGAAGAAGAAGAAGAAGAAGAAGAAGAAGAAGAAGAAGAAGAAGAAGAAGAAGAAGAAGACCAAAAACAACTCCCTGGACTAAATTATGATCCAGACTGAGTATAAGAAAGTTAGTATTTCCAACTCTAAGAGAATCTATTCAATGCAAAGAAAAAAGGGTTACTGGTGTGTACTTTTACTCACTGGTAGAAATCAGCTTCCTTGGCAGCTTCTTCACATCTGATTAGTGTCTTGGTGTGTTGGTTCTGTAGTGACTGTAGATCTGACATTGCCTTCATACACTGTACCTTCAGTCTTTCATAATCGTGGTTTGGTTTGGGGTTAGGCCTACCGGAAAGAGAGGCTCATGCGAGTAAGCTGAAGAATCCTTGGGGAGTTTGGTCAACAGTATGCAAGGGATTCATCACCAGTTTCTTTTAAATGTTCAGCTCTAGGCCACAACCAACCAAAGAGAATATTTGTAGCTGAGCTTGCTTTTTTCTTGCAGACGTTTCATGACCCAACTAGGTAACACCATCAGTGCCAAAAGGGAGTGGGGTTTGTTCTCAGTTTATATTCTAGTGGCTTGCCCTGTGAGTGTTGGTGAGAGGGGTCTATGACAACTCACCACAGCCAACTTGCCACGGGTGACTTAAGAAGAAGGAGAAGGAGAAGAAGGAGAAGGAGAAGGAGAAGGAGAAGGAGAAGGAGAAGAAGAAGAAGAAGAAGAAGAAGAAGAAGAAGAAGAAGAAGAAGAAGAAGAAGGAAGAAGAAGAAGAAGAAGAAGAAGAAGAGGAGGAGGAGGAGGAGGAGGAGGAGGAGGAGAAGAAGAAGAAGAAGAAGAAGAAGAAGAAGAAGAAGAAGAAGAAGAAGAAGAAGAAGAAGAAGAAGAAGAAGAAGAAGACGAAGAAGAAGAAGAAGAAGAAGAAGAAGAAGAAGAAGAAGAAGAAGAAGAAGAAGAAGAAGAAGAAGAAGAAAGTCATAGAAAATGATAAAATTAAACTGCTCTGGGACTTCAGAATTCAAACAGAAAAGCACCTGCAACACAACACCCCGGACTTAACAATTGTCGATAAGAAAGACAAAAAAAGTCTGGATAGTGGACGTGGCAGTGCTTGGAGAAAGCAGAATAGAAGAGAAAGAACTGGAGAAGATAATAAAATACAAAGACCTACAAATAGAAATAGAAAGACTATGGCAAAAGCAAGCAAGGGTAGTACCAATAGTGATAGGCTCCTTGGGTGCAATCCCAAAACAACTGGAGCACCACTTGAACACCATTGGCATTGACAAATTCGCCATTAGTCAATTGCAAAAGACGGCCTTACTAGGAACCGCTTCCATCCTGCAATGATATCTGTGATACCGTCAAACATCCACATCTGCCTATCCCAGGTCCTGGGTAAGGACTCGATAGGTAGACAAAATGCCAAATCCAGTCTGAACATCTGGCTGACTGTGCGATGATCCATAATAAGAATAAAGTTGGAAGGGACCTTGGAGGTCATCTAGTCCAACCCCCTGCTCAGGCAGGAAACCCTAGACCATTTCAGACAAATGGCTGTCCCGTCCCTTCTTGAAAGCCTCCAGTGTAGGAGCATTCAGGGCTTCTGCAAAGCCGCCAAAGTTTCAGACTTGAGACAAATCTCAGCTTTCTCCCCTTTCTCCTCTCACCTGCAGTCATCAAAGGTTGACCCCGGGGAGGACAGGGCGAGGCGTTTGCGCAGGTCGTCCCGCTCGCGGGTCACTTGGCGAAGCTGAAACAGGATGGTCTCCACTTTTTCATTCATCTGCCTCACCTCCACCGGGGCAGGAGGGGGAGACGCCGAGGCCTTGCCGGTTGTGCCTGTGACCAAGCCAAAAACAACAACAACACGGAAGCGGAATTATGAGGGTTAGAAGAAACGTTTTCAAGACAGAGACAGTCCTCGGTTTAGTCAGTGAAAAAAATTGGCTTACAACCATTTTCTCCACTTACGACCGTTGCAGCACCCCCGTGGTCACGTGATCAAAAATCAGGTGTTTGGCAACTAGCCTGTATTTATGACGGTCGCAGTGTCCCAGGGTCACGAGATCCACCATCTGCGACTTTCTGACAAGCAAAGTCAATGGGGGAAGCTGGATTCACTTAACAACCAGCTTATAACTTAACAAGGTCGTAAAATGGAGCAAAGCTCATTGAACAACCGTCTTGTCTACAAATGGAAATGGTGGACTCTATTGGCATCATAAGTCAAGGACTACCTGGTTGTCAGCCATATGGTTTCTCCCGTTCCACCAGACTGGGCATGCTCGGGGTCTCCTGGGTGAAAAAAATGTAACCCAATGAGACTTAAGAAGCGTAATCCCTGAAGACATGAACAACTCCTAATCCTGGTGAATTCCCAGAAAAACATCAGGATTTGCCTTTCCCTCCAGGCATTTGGGGGAAGCTGTTGAAAGAGCTCTGTTGTAGATCTGGGTGTGTGCAATTAGTTAGTAGAGCCGTGGTGGCGCAGTGGTTAGAATGCAGTATTGCAGGCCAACTCTGTCCACTGCCAGCAGTTCGATCCTGACCGGCTCAAGGTTAACTTAGCCTTCCGTCCTTCTGAGGTCGGTCAAACGAGGACCCAGGGTCAGGTCCACCAGCATGTTCTGCCATTCTGTGGAAAGGGAGGGTGTGTGTGGAGGAATGTTTGCTGATTTCCTTCACACGCTTTCGCTTTTGCTGTAACCGCTGGGGAATTAGGGAGGGGGACTGTCTTCCGAGACTGAGCAGATTCTCTCCCAGCCAGTTCCAGCCTGACTTCAAGGCCAACGTGCCCTGAGGGTGCCTTGTTATCTGCCTAGCACCTCAGCGTTCTCAAAACAACCTTGGGGGAAACGGAGGAATTGCTTTGAGCTTTGCGTGGGGCTCTCGGATTTCACCTGACTTTACTGCAGGGACCACATGACCCAGGGACACAGCAACGGTCGTAAGTATGAACCAGTTGCCAAGCATCCGAATTTCAATCATGCGACTGTGGGGATCCTGCAATGGTCGTTAAGTGTAAAAATCGGTCATAAGTCACAAAGGAACATAACTCAAGGACTACCTGTATCACCAGCTAAAGGATTTCTATTTTCACCCAAACGCACAACTGTCATTATTTCACACTTTCGGATATCTGCCTCCATTCCTAATTCAACCCATCTCATCCCTCCAAGTATGCTTCAAAAACTTGTTGCTAAAATTCAAAATGGCTGATTATCTGACTATCCTGAACACCCAACGTTTTAATATCCTGGTAAGTTCCAGAAAAATGTCAAAAGGCTAAGAACATTTTTGCAGCAAATGATGCAAAACAAATTCAGCACAGCAAGCTCGGAAGAGAGTAATCTGGTAGTGGGAGTCAATCCCAGATACTCCACAGTCTTTAGAGAAAATCTTTTAGTTATTTCTTCTGCTGATCTGATCCTGCTTTATGCCTCCGATTATGATTAATCAGACTGCATTTACAGTTCATTTTCCTGGACAACAGTGGAAGTGTCAAAGGACACTTTTTCCCTCAAAAAAAAAAAAAGAGCAAACGTTCTTATGACAATTCCACAGGTTTTTTTTACAGTACAGTTTGTGGAAATTTTTGGAAGGAAGGAAGAGTGGGGAGGGGGGAGGGAGGGAGGGAGGGAGGGAGGGAGGGAGGGAGGAAGGAAGGAAGGAAGGAAGGAAGGAAGGAAGGAAGGAAGGAAGGAAGGAAGGAAGGAAGGAAGACAGACTGGCAAGGGAGGGAGGGAGGGAGGAAGGAAGGAAGGAAGGAAGGAAGGAAGGAAGGAAGGAAGGAAGGAAGGAAGGAAGGAAGGAAAAGGAAGGAAGGAAGGAAGGAAAGAAGGAAGGAAAGAAGGAAGGAAGGATTTTTGATTGGCAGAAAGAGAGAATGATCTTTGAAGAGTGGTTGTTATGATGACAGTCAAACCTCCATGGAGTTCACTTTTAAATAAACAACAGAAGTTCTTTTCTCTTTTTTTAAAGGCACTGTTCATCTTACTGGGCTAAAAAGACCGGCAGAAATGTGATTTAAACCATATGGGCTGGCCGTGCAAAACAAATGCCAGCCGCTCCTCAAAAGCTCAGGAGGAACCGATGTTTTTATTTATTGAAAGATTATCTCACTGACCGAAGCCTGTATCTTTTGCAGCAGACACAACAACAGCTTTCCCACAAGCCTGACTTGCAACCAAGAAAACAGCCTGGCCAGAGTCCTGAAACTGTTCCTTTATTGCAAGAAAAGCTAACTAGTATTCAGTGACTGCTACATATTAAACACAATCTCTTATTTATATGGGTGCAAATGCTTCTTCTGCTCTCATTCGCCACCTTTAAAGGGTGGTGGGGAAGGGACGGTCTCCAGGATTCCCTGTTTTGAACACGGGACAAGCTGCAAGATTTCAGCTGTGTGGAAATTGCTCCCACGAGGGTCTCAGACAGATCCGTTTTCCGGACTTTGCCCCAGACGCATAAATTTTTTTCCGAGCCTCCCTAGAATTAAAACCAGATTCCGAAAATAAAACCCAAGTGGGCACCTACTTAATCATGCACGGCTAAGCTTTGTGCACTATTTAGAGCACTTGCCTAGCATAAAGCTTGCTGGAAACTGTATAATTAATGAAACAGTCTATAGGAAATGAAATCTAAATGTCTAAGGAAGTCCTCAGTCATCCAGATCCTGGTTGAGAACTTCCTTTAGCCATGCACTTTGGGATGAACCCCCTTCGAAGGGTGCGGGAGCATGAACGGATTTCCAGAAAACATTGCAGACTACAGGAACCATCTGCGCTTCAGTTAGCGATGCAGACAACACAGACTCGTCCCCAACAGCCTGCGCCTGTCTCCAACAGGGAAGGGACACATCCTGCAGCCAAGAAGGCTCCACACACATTTGCACCACTCAGGTGACCCTGAGGATACAGGTAAACCTCCAGGTGGCCTCAAGGATTCTTTAAAAGAAGGCAAATGACCAGCTGTCTGCAAGGAGTATAAATCCTTCCATTCCCCACCCTCCAGTCAGAGCTGAAGAAGCTTCTTAGATGAGAAGCAAAAAATCATCAAAGAAAAACAAGAAAGTCCTGAAAAAGGCACTTTTGGACAAACGAAACCCAAGCACTTTTGTGAAAAGGAAATATGCAGTCAAGCTAGTTCCTTTACTGGCTTAAGAGTCGCCAAGCAAAACAGAGGTTTCATAGGTTACTCTCCGAATCTTGGTCCAAATGAAAATCAAGGAACAAACCCTAAAGTTTGCATTCTAAGCATAGATTTTGAGTGAGAACATTCCCATATTCAAACCAAATAACCAAACCAAATAACCAAAGAGGCAAATCTTTACTTACCCGTACTGCTGAGAGAACTACTGCTTTCAGAGTCCGAAGGCATTATAGAAAGAACGCTATACGTTGATCCTGGAGAAAGGGGGGAAAAAAAGGCGATATAAGGGCTATTAACTCTACCGTGCTGCACTTCTCTCTTATCCGATTCCTATACCATCTCCCTGTTTTCCTGAGCCATTTGCCCTGTAATTTTGTAGTTAGGTTCCCAATGAAAGCAGTAGGCTTCTCCAAGCAGGGAAGCTGATCAAGAGCAAGAATAAGTTTCAAATAGGAATTTGAATGATTGCCATGAAGTTGATTGATACAGGACCTAGCTATTCTATTCTATTCTGTTCTGTCCTGTTGTTCTGTTCTGTCCTGTCCTGTCCTATCCTATCCTATCCTACTCTACTCTATTCTGCATTCTAATCTGTTCTGCATTCTAATTTATTCTACATTCTACGCTATTCTATTCTATTCTATTCTATTCTATTCTAGTCTAGTCTAGTCTAGTCTAGTCTAGTCTAGTCTGTCCTATTCTGTTCTGTTCTGTTCTATTTTATTCTATTCTGTTCTGTTCTGTTCTATTCTACTCTATTCTGCATTCTAATCTATTCTACATTCTACGCTATTCTATTCTATTCTATTCTATTCTATTCTAGTCTAGTCTAGTCTGTCCTATTCTGTTCTATTCTATTGTGTTCTGTTCTGTTCTGTTCTACTCTTATTCTGCATTCTAATCTATTCTGCATTCTAATCTATTCTACATTCTACGCTATTCTATTCTATTCTATTCTATTCTATTCTATTCTATTCTATTCTATTCTAGTCTAGTCTAGTCTATTCTGTCCTATTCTATTCTGTTCTGTTCTGTTCTATTCTACTCTACTCTATTCTGCATTCTAATCTATTCTGCATTCTACTCTATTCTACTCTATTCTATTCTAGTCCATTCTATCCCATCCCATCCCATCCCATCCCATCCTATCCTATCCTATTTAGTTATGTATGAGATTTATGTAGTTTGGAGGAAAACTGAACCAAACACAGATTTGTTTGCAACCCTCTTCTTCATAGGCGTGATAGCAATCTCTGGCCGATTTTCATATATTTTCACATCTCCAGTCCACTGACTGGTTAACAGTCTAGCTCTGCTCCATGGGTTTCCTCTCTGAAAGCTTTCCACTGATGTATTCACAAAATACTAAGAGTATTAAGAAAAGAGGTCTCTTTTCCCCTTAATTATGTCTAGTCACAGTCACAGAGCAACTTAGAAAACAAGCAGCTGGTGGCAGACAAAGGCGAAAAAATAACATACGGAGCATTAACAGGTGGCAGAGAAATTAAGACTCAGAAATTTAGGGAAGACATTAACATATTCAACTGAAAGTAATTAAGTGAAAGACTGTTGTTCTGTCATGAACCTCAAATGGTTGCCTAATTTTAAAAAGCCAAAAAATGCTGGTTGCGGTGATTATTTGAATAAAAATGGATCTAGGATATCTTTATTCAAACGCCTATGAATAGAACAGAACAGAAGCAGAGCAGAACAGAATATAGAGTAGAGTAGAGTAGAGTAGGGTAGAATATAGAATAGAATAGAATAGAATAGAATCTGGAAGGGACCTTGGAGGTCTTCTAGTCCAGCCCCCTGCTCAAGCAGGAGAACCTGTACCACCTCAGACAAGTGACTGTCTATGCTCTTCTTAAAAACCTCCACAATTTCAGGTGGCAAACTGTTCCACTGGTTAATTGTCCTCACTGTCAGGAACTCTCTCCTTAATTCCAGATTGCTTCTTGCTCAAATTATGCTCAGCAACCTTTAAAAAAGGGATACTCCGTTCACACAGAGGTTGTCCTTGGCACGCAGCCATTCATTTAGCGACTGTCTGAAGTCGCAACGATGTGGGAAAATGTGATTTATCATCCGTTTTTCATGCTTACAACCACTGCAGCATCCCCGTGGTCAGGTGATCAAAATTCAGGCCCTTGGCAACCGACTCGTAGTTACGATGGTTGCACTATGTCCTGGGGTGGGTCACGTGTGTGATCCTCTTTTGTGTCCTTCCGACATGCAAAGTCAACGGGGAAGAATTCGGATTCACTTAACCACCGGGTGACTAACAATTGCAGTGATTCCCTTAGCATCTGTGGCGAGATATGTTCGTAAAATGAGGCAAAACTCACTCAACAAATGTCTCGCTTAGCAACAGAAAATTTGGGACTCAGTAAGTCAAGGACAGTCTGTACTTCCTTTTCTAATCTCCTTCGGAGGTTGCTTATTAACTTCTTTTCAGTTACTAGAAACCGTTCGGTCAGCAGGTCTGCCTTCCCTCCTAAATGAAAGAAAATTTTAAGTACCATCTTAAAAAAACTTTTTTTAAAAAATGAAATAAACAGGAAAAAAAAAAGCCAATTAAGACTTTGCTTTTAGAAAGCTACCGACAGATTAAGGCTCCAGATGAATTTTTAAATGAGATTTTGGAATTAATTATAAAGAGTCCTTCCCGTGGGAAAGTCAGCTTGTTCCTAATTTTTTTTTTCCTAACGCATAAAAGCCTTAACAGTTTTAAGAAGTAGACACTAGAGGGAACCAAAGGCTTTCACGAAAGGAAAAGAATGCATAAATAGGATAAAAAGCTACAGAATGGTACAAAGTGTGATAAAATTTGAAATACCGAAGGATATTTTTGAAAAAAATGGAACCGGATACTAATATCAACATTGCCATTCGTGATATTTGCTTCTTTGGATAGACTGTGTCCCCCTGCCCCCCAAAAAAAAGGTTTTGGCAGAAATGGAACAAGTTTTATCTGACACTCAAAGTGGATCTACAAATGACGTTAGAAAGAATAACACGGGAAAAATGTTTCATTGGATATGCAATGACAGATGCTTTAAAAATTGAAAGGGAATTGACAAGTAAACCAAGAAAATGATCTGGATAATTCTTTATTACTGACTTTACAAAAAAATTTGTTAAAGCTCGGACAAATCTTATGAGAAGAAATCAAAGAAGAAATGAGAAGAAATCAAATTATGTGGCATTTACTGGAATGGACTGAAGATTAAGATTGTTTGAAGTAAAAGAAAGGAATATAACATTGATTTAGTTGATCAAGGTGAAGACAGAGAAGTTGTTCTTTGTGGCAATGCTTAAAATGGCTTTTGCCAACACTGGGATTGAAATGTTGATGCTTTATAGCTTATAGAGATGGGGCATGAGATGAAGAGAGCATTAGCCATAAATTAAGAGAAGGTTGCTTAAATTGTTTATACTTCTTGTGATGAAAGTTGGAAGTCTTTCCTTTCCTTCTCTCTTCCTCCTTCCCTTCCCTCTTCCTCTTTTCCTTTCCTTCTCTTCCTTTCCTTTCCTTCCCTTCTCTTCCTCCTTTCCTTTCCTTCCCTTCTCTCATAATACTAATACTACTAATAATAATGTTGGAAGGGACCTTGGAGGTCATCTAGTCCAACCCCCTGCTCAGGCAGGAAACCCTATACCATTTCCCTTCTCTCTTCCTCCTTCCCTTTCCTCTTCCTCATTTCCTTTCCTCCTCCCCTTCCCCTTTCTCCTTCCGTTTCTTTTTCCTTTCCTCTTCCTCTTCTTTTCTTCTCTTTCTTTTTCTCCTTTCCTTTCTTTTCCTTTACTCCTCTCCTTGCCCTTCCTTCTTCTGTTTTTTCCTTTCCTCTTTCTCTTCTCCTTTTCTTCTTCCCTTCCTTTCTCTTTTTTAATTTATATTAGTTGTTAATTTTGCGATTATAGTCATACATACATACATACATATATATTGCTCCTCGAAGCACGAAGCTGAAAACACCAGCCTGAAGATGACGAATGGGACTTCGTCGAAACGTCGCCAAGACACTTCCAATTTTACGCGGGAGAAAACCCGAACAACCAAAGACCTACATACACACACACACACACACACACACACACACACACACACAAACACTGTATATATATAAAATCAGATATCAGCCAGCAGACAGTGTATAACAGCCATGTTATTTAAAAAGAATACCGTATTTTCCGGCGTGTAAGACGACCTTCTAAAGCAGCGGTTCTCAACATTTGTGTGACGGCGACCCCGTCACACAAACGTTATGCGCATGCGTGGCGCGGCACACATGGGTGTGCCCCCCATGTGCGGCGTGCATGCGCGGGGCGCCCCATGCGCGGCGGGGCACCCCCATGCGCGGCGCGCATGCGCGGCGCCGCCCCCGGAGGGGAGAAAATGGCGGATCGCCGCCTTTGGCGACCCCAAAAAAATGGTCGATCGACCTCAAATGGGGTCGCGACCCATAGGTTGAGAACCGCTGTTCTAAAGCATATGCGCAAATCATCTCTGAAGTCAGAGGTCGTCTTATACGCCGAGTCATCTTATACGCTGGAAAATACGGTAGTTTCTGGCGTATAAGACAACTTTCTAAACATGCAAATTGTCTCCGAAGTCGGGGGTCGTCTTATATGCCGAATCGCTGTATACGCCGGAAAATACGATACCCATTTTCTCTGGGCGCAATGTTTTGTCCTCCGAAAAGCATCTTAACTTCTTCAACCCGATTTTTGCCATCCTGAGGAAAACCGGTATAGCCTCTGGATTTCCAAGGGAAAGTGCACAAGGAAACTCAAAGATGAACGGAAGTGCTACTTCCCGGCATTCATCTTTGACAGAAATAACTACGAAAAATAACTATTTACAAATTACGGATGAGCAAGCCCGTCAATGTGCATTTTTGTAAATTTTCTGGTTTACATACATCACCAAGCAGCTAAAAAGAGAGACCATCTTTTGATGACAAATCGGAAGGATCTAAAATTTGCACCATGACATCAGGGAGCCCTACAATTACTCAACTGAATAAAGATCTACAGAGATTCTCAGTCCTCCAGATCATGGTTATCCCAAAGGTGCTTTTTCAAAAAAGGCAACTAGACTTTCTTATTTTTTTCCTTGAAGACGTTTCGCTTCTTATCCAGGAAGCTTCTTCAGTTCTCGAAGCTCCTTGGATGAAAAGCAAAATGCTTTCAAAGGGGGAAAAAAAATAAAATCCCATGAAAGTCCAGCTGCCTTTTGAAAAAGCACCTT